CTAATCGATGAAAACGTCGATCAACATTCACAAGTGAAGAAAATATATCAAGCATTGTGAGGTCCTTGAAAATCATGAGGAAGATTTCATCGGGTAAATCAAGCAGATTACTATTGAATTTGTTCATGTTTGTCTCTTCGAGTGTGTCCATTTCCTCTTTATCGGCGAGAGGAACAATTACACATTTATATCGATGCCGTCATCTGGTTCAATGATGACCTCAAGAAATAGACTGGACTAATTGAGAATGAACCAACCAATGGGAACATCTTCTCGATCCATTGAAATTCGATGTTCTCGTGGTGAAGTTCAACAGCTTATCGTGATGATGTAATATGAAAGTGGTTTACTCCGGCGATCATAATCAATATTTTCTATAGAGATTTTCGGTCGTATGGCCTACGATGTTCGATTGTAGGTACTGGAACGCCCGGTAGACATGGCTGTTTAAATCATCTACGAGAAGTAGAATACGATTATCGGATAGTTTTTTCTTTTATTCTTTTTTGTAATGTATACAGAAAAAAGGCAATGATCGAGATATTATTCGATTACATGTTATAAAACGTGTATCACGTAATGAAGACCAATGGGAGCTAACATTTCATGTACTTCGATATGTGATGAATTTTCTTAAAGTTCGAATGATTTGCAATTCTCCCCTCGCTTGTTCCACGTAGACTAGCGATTGCTTGCGCATATCTGTATCGATTATTGTATCGTTCATCATACCATGATGCGCTCCGATGCGTTATTGAGCCTGTGATTCAGCTTCATCCAAATCATTCATCTAAATAAGTTAAGACACTCAAGTGTGTCGAGACATATTTAGTTTTCTTACTTCGATATCGCCGACCGTCAACCTACCCAAAAACCTTTCAATTGATATTTTTATATCTAAATATACAAATACATTGTTTATATACTGCTCGGCGAAGATATCAATCTATCTTTTGATATATATTCTTCCATACATCGGATATCTTTCTCTTCTTTTCCCATAATATCTATTCCTCGAATATGAACACATTCATCCGAGCCGAAGTCGAAAGAGACAACGATCGAAATAGTATACTGTGGAGAACATTCTTTAATAGAAAGCGTGGACGATGTAAACGTTTTGTTGCCTTGTTGACCATGGGAAATCTAGACGACGAAAAGAAATATCTTTTCTTTGTGAATCGAATAAACATCATCTGTTTCTAACTTGATTTTCGGATTGTGACGTTGTTTCACATGTACTCGACGGCATTTCGTTATGACAGGCAAAAAACATATGCAAACCCAGGATATTTTGATACCAAAATGATCAGCGCATCGAGCTCTACAGACCCTGAGAATTTGAGCGGTACGTTTTCCATGGATTCATCCCTTCCATGATTTGAATGTTCGATAGTCGAGCATGATATTTACCACCCATATTACGATAACATTGTATGATCGCTAATGCTCTTGTTAAATCTCGATATTTTCGGTACATGTGATGCGTACCAGATCGAGAATCACATCGAAGTTTTTCACTACTAATGGCTTGCGTTCGTTGACTAATCTACATTCGACAATCTCACTAGCAGCGCTTCGAACAGGAATCTGAAGTAAAAGGTCTTACTGAGTGTCATTTTCTGGCACAAAATGTAGGCGAATACTCTGTTTTTCCAAACAGCGGATCACAAAGTATCTGAGTTGTAGATTGTTTGATTACAATCGGAAGAGTGATGTGAAGTTTGTCAAGAACCTTTCATTTTCAATCGGTGTGAAGCTAGCACCATAAATTCTTAGTTTGGTGGTGTTAGTTTCACACCGATTTTGTTTCTTTTACTTAGAATATGAATAATGTTATCAAACGTGCTGAAGATTTAATCTATCAATCAATAGATGAGAACTTCTTCAAAGCTCAACGACAAGGAGATATCAAATTGCAAACTATTCATACTTTTCTTAGACAATGACGCGGAACATCTTCGTAACATGCGAGTCGAATGATGGATTGTAAGAAATATTTCCTTGAAAAACTCCAGTTCAAATATAATTTAATTGAAAATATCAATGAATCGAAATCGCTCATTTATTCAAGTATCTGATCCTATAAAGAATAATACTCCTTCTTGTGTACTCAAAAAGTAAGTACACTGTTAAAATCGGCCAATCATCAGTGTGTCCGTCCATTTACACGATAATTTTCGATAGAAGAATCAAATTGCGCTAAATTTTTCTGCACAGCATCATCTCATTAATATCTCAGTCAAGTTCGAAGATGAACTCAATTGGTTGTATTAATGCTGACTTTTGGTAAAATATTCTCCGATCCTTATTCGTATATAAGTCGCATGTTGGTCCATTATGCATTCACTCCGTGTATTAATTATGACCGGTTAACATAGCTGAAGTGTCAAAAATACGTTACTAACAATAGATTTCAAACAAACACATGAATATTTCAAATGAATAAAAGGTACATCAATAGGAGAAAATACTAAAGTTCCATGAAGTTATTCTCCAGTTCTTTGAAGGCGAAAACAAGTGAAAGAAAAGATTTTTCATGTCCGGAGATCAGACGACTGATTGCTCGAACTATCGATCTATGAGAAAAATACAGTAATAAGATCTCGAGTTATGCTACATGAAAGCTGTTCACTTTGTATATTTGATACAAAGTTTTATTTATTGAAATGGAAAAAGAATGTTCGAACTACCGATTATGAAAAATATTCGACGAAAATGATATTGATTAGAAAAAGAAAGAACGAGATTGATGAAGTGCAGAATTTTGTTGAAGATTTTGAAGAAGTCGTTGTTTTTCTTGTTGTTGTTGATGTTCTTCTCACTGTTGTTGGTTTAATTGTCGTTTCATCATCTGGAAAATTTGTTAATTTTTTTGTCTTGAATAATTTGTCCATCTTGAATCTTTTCCACATAAAATAAAAAACGAGCGTCTCGGTGCGTTTGATATTGCAATAAGAAAGTTTACACAAAAAAATCAACTTATGTTGAGTAGTAACGTTTCGTTGATTTATTTGAGCGAACACTTCAAGTTCGGCAAATGGTGCTCTTGTAGTGTTCATACATCCAGTCAAATAAACATTCGGAAAATTTCTACTGAGACATCGTAAACCAACACAATCTTGTAGTCGATGAGTATTCATCCATTGGAGACATGTAGAACTTGGAGTGACTTTTCCTTTTTCAAGCAAAACTTCAAGTTCTTTTTCTACACTTCCATATGATTTGCCTTCTGTAAGCATCCATTGTACAGCACTTATTGTGTATTCGAGATCACATGCATGTCTTGTACAAACTCCTCGCATTACGGTCATTAAAGTTGCGTGTTTAACTATTTCAATCGCAGTTTGCACGACTATTTGACCAATTTTGACGCCGTTCAAACGTGAAAATTGAACTTTAACTAGACGTTTTGTGTGGAAAAGCGATAGATTGAACGAACAAAATGATTCTTGTTGAGTACGATTAATCAGATCCGATGTTAAATTTTGAATTGTGCCTTTTGGATTTGTATCATTGAGTTGAATTTCGTAATCCCGCACATTTGTGAGACAGCTCACCTGAACACTGGTCTTAACCAAGAAAATTAACAGGAAACTGAGACTTATGTACATGTAGACCATGGAATTGAGGAATGCAGACGTTGTTATTCCTTGTTCATTGATAACAATCACGTTTTACTCCACGTCAAATAGATCAAAGCATGACTTTTCTTCTCACAAGAATATTTATCAGGAAAGATTTACTAAGAAGTTGGAGAAATATGAGACGGATGGTAAATCTTGAGGGTGAGAGTGGAGGTACTGAAATTTTGTTCCCGATAATGTTTCTAGAAAATTCAATTTTGAGTTTAGACAAGATATATTCGAATATAGTGCTAACTTTGTCTACGCCATATATTGTTCGTCTTTTACTGATTACGAAGTATTTATTTCAAATGAATGCGATATTCAGTGTTAACCAAAGGACAAGGAGTTTAATAAAAGACGTGATCGATGATGCTTTCGATATTGTTGATTCTGTTGTAACGTCGGGGGACGTCGTGACAAATGTTGTTTTTATCGGTTCCACAGTTGTTGAGATTATCGACGTTTGATCATTTGAAAGATTCGATGTCAATATATAAGATTGAAATATTTTAAGCATATGTATTTGATTCCACATAATCTCAATGATACCAGCGTGAGTTTCTTTGCTGTTGCATAAACTAGTTTTGCATAAATATGTAAAATTATGTTTAAAGATTATTTGTTGATGTTCAACTTTTACTAATGAGTCTAAATTAACTTTTGGTAGCGTTACTCGATCGGCCATACATTGAGCTGTAAAATAATTACTCAATGTTATTATATTGACACATACACTGATAACACCACAGTTTTTCAGCTGATGATCATTCTTCCATTGAAAACATTGAACTACTCCTTGTATCGCTCTTGTTTGTAGTACATCTTGTAGACTTATTCGTATACTTTCATATGATTTCCCTTCCGACAACATCCATCGGACAACACTTATTGTATATTCTAAATCGCACATATGTGTGAAACACATTCCTTTTATGGTTGTAATTATTGGTGTGTTTCGAATCACTTCAATTATGATTTTGACGATTATCTGACCAGCTTCAGTCTTGTCTGAACGTGTAAATTGAAGTTCAACTTGACGTTCTATATGCAAAAGCAATAGATCGAAGGAACAAAATACTTTTTCTTCAACCCGATCAATGAGATTTGATTGTTTGGATTTGTATCATCGAGTTGAATTTTGAGATAACCCACATCTGTGAGACATTTAATTTCATCACTCGTTCTAATCAAACAAAATAGTAGAAAAACGAAAATACCCCACATGTGCATGATGAAATGGCTAATTCCTAATTGCGGCTACTTTTTTTAATTAGCTAATTAAAAGTGACCGCATTCCGGAACAGGGTAAATAAATGAAAACAATTTTCAAATTGAAAAATGACTGTATTTTATGAAAGAAAATATATTTCGTTAGTAAATAGATATTTCTCATACAAAATTCCTTCACCACCTGATTGTGTAGTCAATCGACGAAAACTTTTGCTACTTGACGACATCGTGCCAGTGAGATGTATCTATCTCGTTATGATTAAGGATACACTATAGATAAGGTTACAGTCTCACGAAAATTCTCACATAAGGTGATCGGAAACATCCCAAGCACAACTAGAAATCAAGAGAACAACACATGGAAATTTCTAATAATGTCATACAAGAGAAAAGGAAAGAAATAGGTATATGTGTGACGTCATCTAGAGAACAACAGAAAAAAGTGAAATTAAAAAGGTATGATTATAGAAAAAATCTATTGATTGAATTATGTAGTGTTAAATTGCGGTCATTTTTCAATCAGAAGCATTTTTTCACTTATCTACCCTGTTCCAGAATGCGGCCACTTTTAATTAACTAATTAAAAAAAGTAACCGCAATTAGGAAGCAGCGGATGAAATGTCACCAACTCAATGAAATTGGCATCACTTTTTTCTGTTAGTTATCAATCATGTTTTCTCTTTTATTAAAAAAGCTTATCGACATACAATCATTTCTGAGATAAACGCGTATTACACAAATATCATAGGTTCAAGTTTTTGTATTTGAATGACATGTATCGATTTAATCAAAAACTCTATTTGACATTTATCCATATTTGTTGTCATGATCAAAAAAATGTTTTCATCGAAAATAGTCCAACGTGACAATCGGATTTTTTCCAAAGTTTCTAACTGGAATATTGTAATTCATAAACAGTTGGAAGATGATTAATAACTGATGCACTTGTTGAATTAGCTCAATCAATGAAACATTCATTTAGTGCTTTGATATGATTTTAGTGGCGGCGTCAAGGGGGGGGGGGGGGGCTGAGCCCCCTTTAAATGAAAATCCTGGCGCCGCCTCTATATGATTTGTTAATATACAATACCTACTCTTCACCAAGGTAAAATAAATCATATTTGAATAATATTTATGAATATTTATAACACTTTCATCAACAAATATTTTTGATTGGTCTTTGAAATCTTTTAGAAAGGGAGTACGAACGACTGTTAAGATCGATCTATCTCCATCGAATGAATTAAATATTTCTGTTTTCGAGACAGTTTCATCTGTTATTGATTCATGTGATAAAGTTCAATGAAAAATCTCTTTCCGAAGTAATTTATAATCAAACCAAGATTTCCCATTGCTGTTGATCCAATAAGAACAATAGGCTTTGCGGTTGTTTTGTTCTACGACTTGTTGAAATAACTTTGAAATATAAGGATCAGGATGAATATACGATATTTGTAATTTATTTTGGTTAGAATAATAATCCAACTAGTAATTAAAAGATTTCTTATTTATATATTTGACGATCAAAAACTGATTGATAGACTCTTTTTTCACAACGAGATTATTTACTGAGTATAACATTTCTTGTCATCCTACAGAAGAATAAAAATAACAGTATATGACAATAAGAGATTCACAAATGTTTTTTCCTCTATTTTATTAAGTAAGAAGTTCAAATGGGTGTATTTACTTCTAACCAAGAAAACGTAACTCTAACTAGTATGACTTATTTGACTTATTTTGATTAATCTTTATAAAGGAATTTGAATGGACAAGTTAAGACATTTGTGATGAAATATTTTGTATAAGTTCAACATAATTCATCTAATATTAAAAAAATAATTCCATTTTGATACACACCAAAACTCGATCGTTTGTTAATTGTTCCGATTAAATCAACGATATAATGGCGTTGTCAATAAAATATGATTATATTTCTTATCAGAAATGATGATTGTCTCAACAAACTTATCAAATATAAACAATTGATCGTTAATGTACCAAAACTAAGTCAATGTGCAACTATTAGATATCAAAATCTGATAAAGTTGTATGGATTTTGTTCCTATAGTTGGAAGGTATTGTTTTATTACGAACTATTCCATAGCATAATGATGTGATACCTAATGGTGCTTCGTTATTGTCTCAACCGATAAAATCAAGTAGAATAATATTTAAATTAGCCATCCTGTATAATTTTAACGCACTTTGCTGTTTTAAGTTTAAAAATAGTTCAGGTATTATCCTATAGAATGTTGGAAATTTCTAACATTTTTTCAATGTTTTTTTATTTCATCAGAGTCATTGTTTGTTCTACAAGAGACAAATGTCAATAATAGAAAAATGTACATACGTAACATGCAAGAGAAACACGGTATAGTATTATTTTCATTTCATTACATTCAATAAGAAAGTAATGATGTCGAATAGACGCGCTACAAACTCTGCTGTTTCTACTGCCAATTATTTATATTTAAATGAAGATTCAATACCAGATGAATTAAAATGTACAATATGCCAAGAGCCATTTATTAATCCTTTCAATGGAACAAAATGTGGTCATACATTTTGCGAATCATGTATTGACAATTGGTTTAGACACAACTCTTCATGTCCGACTTGCAGAGCAACTACACAATTTGTCCCGGTAACTTCACGTGCCATTCTTGGTCAATTAGATCGTCTTCTTGTTCGCTGTCGTCAATGTAATAATGGAAATATTCAACGTGGTAATCTGGCTGATCATATCAAATCTCAATGTCCTCATACTGTTGTGAAATGTAAAGCAGCTGATTTGAAATGTCAATGGCAAGGAAATCGAGAACAATCGGTACAACATGCAGCTGTTTGTCCTTTGTTACAGATTCGTCCAGCAATTGAAGAAATGAGAGCAGATCTCGCTGCTCAAGCAGAACAACTTCGAATATTTATGGACGAAGTACGAGATCAATTCAATCGTTTAGAACGACAGCAACAAACTAGTTCTAGTAAACAAGTGAATATAAACTCCAAAGGAACACGTGTGGAAGAGATGACTGAACAAGAACGTTTTAATATAGTCAACAACGATTTGAGACGTACGTGGAGTAGAGTATTTTGCTATAGATATTTTGGAAACATCGAATGTAATTTCTGTAAATCAAAATCTCAACAAGGTTTTGTATGTCTGCTATGCTCATGTTCCGTTGCTCGACAGAATATTCGTGCTCATGATTACAGTGGAAAGGAGAGCGATGTGATTTGTCGAATTTGCTTCGACAAATACCAATCTAAGATGTATTTTAACATATAATCAAAAATTATCATCTAGTCGAGAAATATTTTGATTTTTAAATTTTAATAAACTGAAAGAAGTCACCAACAGGTTTCTCGTCTTGATTCACAAGTCAATTCGAAAACAAGCGAATTGAACACATTAATTTTCATCACTTAAATAATTTCCTGAAAATATTCTTTAGTCAATGAAGGAGATTTCTTTTCACAAACAACAAAATCTCATGTATAATCTGTCTTGTTTCTTTGAGTGCGTCAAAAGAGTTTTTGTTGATTGATATGTTTATTTCCAATGTAAAGAAAAAGTATTTTTGTGATAAATTATAGGTTTTTATAGGAAGAAAAGCAAAATAATATAAAGGTATATTCATAATCGATAATCGATGAGATGTTTTATGAATAAAAGAAATCCTTCATTTTTCTTCTTCAATAGACTTTTAATATGTTTATGTTATACATGATTTTTCTTCTTGAAATTCTCGGTAAGAATATTCAAAAAGTTCTCCTTTGTTTTTATCAATTTCATTGAATTCTAAAGATGCTCGACATTCCGAACCTGATCGAAAAATCTTTTCAACTCCGCCAACAACAAAACCAAATCTTCCCATTCACACTGTTGAAAATATTCAACAATCTGGTAAAAACAAATATCTTCTCCAAATCGATAAAAATCGTGTTTTTTGTATTGTAATAGATCGTTGTGAAGGTCCTGATTGTCGCTCTGGTCCGAATCTCGTCGGGCCGATAATCGGCATTGTTTGTGGTGTTGTTGTAAGTGCTCTACTCGGTGCTTTTCTCATTTGGTTTTACTTCAAACAAAAATCTCGGCAAAAAGAAAAACAGATTTCAAAAATTCCTGAAATTAAATCCGTCGAACATCCATCACTTTACACTGACACGATCAGTACAACAGATAATTTATCGCGAACTTATTCAATGAATTCTCATTATTACGAAAAAATCCATTAATTTCCTTAAAAAAAGTTTCTCTATCTATTTAATAATAAAATTTGTCTCATTATCAGAGTGAATGTTGTTATGAATGTAAAACATGTTGTTAGTCAGCGTACCTCTTCATTCCTATTGGTTAAAAATTCTTTTGAATGATTCTAAAAGAAAAAAGCAACGTTTTATTTTTTTGTTATTCTATTCTAAATAACACAATGGGTTTGTCTTCGTTTGACAAATATTCTTCGTGTTCATCGTATTGTTCAACATTAAACAGTCAATCATTGACAAAACGTTTAATTGAATTGTCGAACACACCTTCAAGATCTTCGCTACGCTTTGCACATACACCCGAATGGGCCGATGGTCTCGAGACATGGAATTATTCGCAGAATTCAACGATAAAAACGGATTTATCACGACGCAACTTAGATTTTCATGATGATATTGGACTTTATTTACCTCGATGTGAAAAACCGAAATCTGCGCCGACTTGTTTGAAAAATCTTCAAATCAATTCAAAAGTTCCTCCGAATAATGTTCCTCCGGAAAGAATTCGTCATTTATTAAAACGCGAAAAAGATCTTTTATCTCAAAATGAACCTCCGTCAGATGAAATTTTGCCCAAAGTTCCAACAAACACCTATCGATCGTGTAAATCCTTTTATTTCTTTGTTTTCTTCATCAACTCTCCGTTTTTCTTCCAGCTACTTCTCTTGAACTAACAACAACCAATGACATTCGTCTTCCGTTCCGTCAACCGACAACTATAAAAACAACTTGTACCACTCCCGATCAACCATTAAATCAAGACGTTCTCAAAAGTCTATTAGAAGAACATTTAACATCTTTATTAACACGTGGTGCATCAACAGTCAATTCTAATCGACCAACAAATGAACCAAAACAGCAAAGTCGAACTGATAAACGTGATGAAATCATACCAACACCTTTGTCGACGATCTCAACATCACATTTTATTGTTCAACAAAAATCCCCGATGGGTTTAACAATAACACCGGTCGACGCGTCTCCACAAAGACATTTTCAGAGTGTTTCATTGGAGAAATTAGCTCAACAAAGAAGTTTTCTACAAGATAACGAACTCTCTTCTCCATCAACAACGAATAGTACACGACCTTCGACCGAACCTGGTTTGTTTGTTGACTCATTCTTTGATTTTGATCTTCTTCTTCTTCATTTTAGTTTCATTTCCTCCTCCAACTCATCGATATCAACAACAACAAAAAGTTGTTTTAAAACGAAATTTGGAAACAACCCATTCGTCTTCCGGTGATCTTTTCGTTTCCAATGAAAATTCCAATAAATTCTCTGAACACAATCAATTGATTCAAAATTTCCGTAAAGGACATCCACATCACGGAACAACAACTAAACCGAAAAATCAACGGACAAACCGAACAACAACGATCGAACTTTTACCACCGATCGTTTCCGGCAAACGTGTTCACATTTCCTTAGCAAATCACCGATATTTATAAACTTATCTTTATCCAAATTGTGCCTGCATTTCCTATTGTTACATGAAAATCATTTTCATTTTCACTCTAATCAATATAAATATATGGAAAATTAAAAAAGAACAAACGCTTTGATTTTCAGAAAAATAACATAAAGCTCAAAGCTGTTTGAGCACTTTGATAGAAAAGTTTAGGAGCAAAAACAGTCCAAACAAATAAATGATAACGTTGGAGAAGAACACAAACAGAAAATAAAGTATTTATTAAAGTTAATTGTAACAAATAAATCGTTCGTTGTTCACGAGATAATTTCATTAACCAAAGTATTGATAAACCATATGTCGAAAGAGAAATGAAAAATCCGTGAATGATTGGAATATAAATTGGAATACCGACAAAACCTGTTGAAATATCAATTGTTACAAATGAATTCGAATTTCCCTTTCAAAGAAAATCAAACAAAAACAATTTTAAGAAGATTTGTCTTCATGGAAATACGTACAAGATGAAAAAATGCCGATTGACTCAATAAAAATGCCAATGAACCATCAGTTACCGGTAAATATTCATAGAATATCATATAAATGACGATTATAACACAATTATGCGTTCGACAAATCAAAAACAAAAGACAAAAGAGAATATTTGGTATTGACATCTCTTTACGGATCAAAAAGTAAAATAATAAACCGTAATACAACAATGGAGTTAATGATGAGAAAGAACTAAATGAGAAAAATAAATACCGATTTAAAAAGAACAAATCAACATCGAAAAGCAAAACCAAACCTGAATAAATTCCATCGATAAATGAAAATAATCATCGGGAACAAATATGTCAATCGACATTGCTTTGATTTGTTTAACAAATAAACAAATACAATTGAAGAAAGAACATGAACAACAAATAAATATATTTGATGATCAGACCTTTTTTCGAATAACATTATGAAGAAGATTAGATGAAAGGTGAATTCATCACTTACTTATTAAGAAAATCACCAATATCGGGAAGATTTAACCATTTATTTCCGGTTTGATTCCATGAACGAATTAAACGAGAGAAAAGAAAGAAAATGAAATATTGGAAAGATTTCTGTTCGAATGTTCGAAGAAATAAATAAGTTGATAATAAATAATACCAAGTTTGATGTTCTTCTTCAATAAAACTACTTGAAAATAACGAAATACAATGAAATATCGGATAATAAATCAATAATTGACTCGATAGATTCGTTTTCTCTTCGAATTTATAATCAATTGATCTTCTTTGACCTTGTTTAAACCCAATGAAACAAAAACTAATTATACCAATCGATAAACTAACAAAGATTCGATTCGAAATGACATAAAACAAAATCGAAATAACGATTGCAATTGAACACATTTTCGAAATATGAAACCAAAGAAGAATTGTACTCTAAAGAAAATATTTTCTATTTTTATTATCAAAATCAACAGTCGAATATTTCGAATTCGATTTGTGAAATGTGAACTCACGAGAAAGAAGATGAAAATACTGAGAATTAACATGAGAAAATCTTGTTCATTGGCTAATTTCATCGCTTGTTGTCGAATTTGTTGTAAATCATTGAATGCAGTTGATAATTTCGTATTTGATAAAAGATTAACTAATTGTCTTCGATTATCATCGATTAAACATTGAAATAAATTTGTTTTCTTAATCAATTGAAACGTTTGCAGAACATTTTCGATTAAAATTCCTAAATTATTAAATGGAATTGCAATTTCGAGTAATGCACTCAATGTTGGTGTTAAATCAATTTGAAAATATTCATTTTCATCTCGATAAATCTCTTGAAATCCCTTAGAAATGAAAACTGCCGGAACAAAGATTTCTTCATTCGATGATCCACCATGTCCACCTTGATCAATCATTCCATGATCACCTGTAATTAAAATCACATCATTTGAATCAACTTTCGAATAAACATATTCAATCATTTCATCCATTTCTGTTAATTTATCTTGAACAAATGAATTGAATGCACCATAAGCATGTCCAATATGATCGAGACCTAAATAATGAACGATTAACAAATCCCATTGTTCTCTTTGATCCAATTCGGCATAGAGACCGCGAGTTACATTGATATCGATCTAAATTAAAAGGAAAAACTTGGAAACTTTCATTGACAACAGTTTCGAATTGAAACCTCTTTGAAATCTGAAACGAAAAATGATTGAAGACCATACGAACGAGAGAAAATTCCATGCGGAAATAATTTCAACCAAGTATCATCACCATAAAAGACAATTTTCTTCTCGGGATACTTTTTCTTATATTGAAATAACAAATTATCGATTTCCAACGAAGAGGAATTATAATTGAACAACACATCCCAAAATGACGGAATTGTTCCTGTTAAAATTGCCTAAACAACATTCGCTTATCGAAATTTCAAATGAAATTTTACTTTTAATCTTGGTAATGTCACAGTTGGTGTGTGAGTTCGGAGTTTAATCGATAAAGCTTTCTTTTCTTCTTCGAGTTTACCGATCGATCTGAGATAAAATGAATGATTTCTATTGAAGATGTAATCAGAACGCAGTGCATCGATTAAAATGATAATCACACGACGATTTGTTGATTCTAAATCATCGAAAAGAAACGATTTTCAGATCAAAATGCATAAAGATTCGAAATTACTTGGCGAATTGAAACATGATCGAGTAGAAATTTGATTTGTCGATGATGAGAATGGGAAAAGCCCTTGCATTAACAAAATAAATGCAAAGAAATGAAAGACAATCACAAACAGTTCCGATCGCATTGATATTCGAAATGAAATGTTCAATTTTTCTTCGAGATATCGACCAACAGAATGAATTCATTTTCATAGATGTCGCTTTTGAATCAACAATTTTCGAAATGGACTTCTCATTTTTATTCTTCATGAATATTCATGAAAACGTCTGTTGGAATTAAAACGAAAACGTGTTGACTAATATATATTACATAAAGAAGATCAAAAACAATTTCACTCTTGACAAAAAAACCCACCAAGGAAAAATATTAGTTGTCTTCGAGATCGATTTGTTGTTGCTTTTCGATCTGTTGAACAAGTGAATCGACAACATCCGTATGGTTTCGAATGTTTTGTAAATGTACTCGAATTGTTAATGTTACAACAATACATTGAACTAGTTGAGTGAAACGTCGCACAGCATCGGAAAATGAATATTTGTATAACAAATATTTCCACAATAATTCCGAATATTTATTTTCGATCGATAAAATCTTTTGTGGATCTCGTAAATGATTCGTCGAACAATCTCCATCATATGATGTACAATTACTTGCACAAAATGCGACTAATGATAATGTTAATTTAATTGTATAAAGATCTTGATCGAGTAAAGACGTTTGTAATAAAGTTAAATTGAATGCCATTGTGCCAAATGCACTTTCAAGCGCTTTCCGAACAGCAGAATCTAAGATTAAGCCAGAATTCCATAAAGTAAATCCTCCAGCGAAACAACTAACATTATCAACAGCACCACGTAAGACAACTGAACGATCATGCGATGATAAAGTATGAAAATCTCGATTTGCTCGAATGCAAGGCTCAGTTTGTTTGTAAATTAATCCACAAATTTCTAAAATTCGTTTTTCACTCATTCGATAACGTAATTTTGGATGTGCTCGATCTAATTCTTGAACAAATTCTTTGCCAGCTTGAATAGCATGTCTTTCATCATACGAACAAACGAGATTTCTCATTAATGACCATTGATCACTATCTAATAACGATGAATCATAGTTTAATAAGTTTAACGGGCGAATCTAAATACTCAAAGAAAGATGTTTAACCAATGAGCAAGAAGAATCTTCTTTACATTCGAATGATAATCCTTTCCTGTTTTTTTTTAGAAATAATTCTTCTGTCATTAAAAATAAGAGGACATGTCTCTTCATATGTAGATCTCTGAATTAGGCACGATCAACTAACCTGTAGAGGTATTCGACTTTTCCATGGCACGACATCCGATGACGTAGAAGCAATGGCTTCGACTTTTCTTTTCACAATTCTGGATGAACGAAACATTTCGGTGCACATTCCAGCTTTGAAGCATTTCATTAATCGACACGCTGAACAGATATGACGATTATAAACATTTATTTCGCAATTTCCATCGAAATCACATCGAAATGTTTTCTAAAAATCATCAAGAAAAACAACTTATTTGTTTTTTCAAGTTCATCTCAATACAAACCTTTTTATTATCCGCGTTTCTTTTGAAGAACATCTTACATGATTCACACGCCATAGCGCCATAATATGAATATGAAGCGGATGCACCGCAAATTTTACATTGTGATAGAGTTAAACTTGTTTTCGACATGATAAATATCGTTGAAAATAACCCGAACTATGTTCACTTGTTTCTCGTCTTAAAAATAAGATATCTGACATAAACATGCGCACAAGTCGTTGTGTAATGAGAAGAAACTATCCTTTCTGTGCAAAGTTATTAAAACGACGAAGAAAAAGAAAGTCGAGAAGAGAATAAGCAGACATATCTTGTTTTTTTCTCTTTCTTCTGCACGAAAAAGCAATTGGTGTAGAAAGAACAGCAACATATCAAGTCAAAAACACGCACGTGAGGAAAAGAGCAAGAAAACATACGAATTGACTTAGAACGTTCAGGTGCATCGCATGACAAGTCAACAGTGATGACACGATACTTTTCAGAGTTACACAACAAATATGAGATGATTAGAGTCAACGAGAAAAAAAAAGACATGTTCTATCATCACATTAATTATTTTAATGAATAAATCATCAAATATTTAGATGAAAATGGATTAACTTTTACGAATTTATCTTTAATAAGTTGCGAGATTGAATTTCACATTTGAAGAATCTGATAATGAAGAACAAAAGGTTTCTTGTTTCAATCAGTCTTAACTGTTAATCTCGAGAGAAAAGGATATGTGCAGAAAATGAAGTCAAACAGGGGTCGTAAGAACAGATTTATGATGACAGAATTCATTCAAGCACATAAAGATCTGTCATTCACTTCGAGTGGGAAATTCTTTTTTCAAACATCTGTCATTTGTCACCGACTGAAAAATATGGTTTTCATTTTCTGACAACACATTCCGAAATAAAAAGAATTACGATCATCTAGGACACTTTTTCCATGAATGTTTTTTTTGGGTTAAACGGTAAAATCAATAAACACAATAGATGACATCTATCGGAATAAAGTTATAGGAATGAGGAGAGTAATAAATGAAACTATAGTTGTCATTAATGATGAATACTTTGTGTAAAAGTTTTGGAATAAACTTTAAAACGTTTGGCTCTGAGGAAACTTTTCATCGAAACGACAATTATAACAAACAAAAGAAAGATTTTCATTATCAGGTCAACTTATGAATGAGACTTTCTTTCAATGATAATTCATAGACACAAAAGACACTTGAAAATGAAATTTTAATTAATTCTTCGGTGTTAACATGACATTAAACAGATATACATTACAATATTATTTTTTCCAAGAAAGAAACGTGACATATTCCATTGCATAATAGAATCCAAGTCAAAAGCTTTTTGTATTTTCTCTTGCATAAACACGAGCACAGTACGTTTAAATGAAAATCTAATCAAGCAGAGGTCTTTTAACTTCATACTGGTTTCTGGTTTATTACCTGTTGTGTGTGATGAAATACCGTGGAAATAACGAATTAATTCTAAATTTCCGTTTTGTATCAACACACAGATGTGCAAATATTCTGTACTTTCCGTTCATTTCCAGGAAATTAATTCAATCTACGTGTCGTCTAACGAAGAATGAATAGATATTACTTAGAAAATATCCAAATACAATAAGAAGAAATCCAGGATTTCAACGGAAATGAATGTGGAAAAGATCTTTTTCTTTATTGAGAAAACGATAAATTTATTTATGATAGATAAATAATTAAGATATAGATTACTTTAGACGGAAAACGTTCCGAATCCAAATGAAAAGACAGGAATTCTCATTTGAGAAAAGCAGATAAACATCATTGAAAAATCTATTCGAGTATAAAGAGAGAGAGAGAGACGGAGATGTTTTTCTCGCAAATCGTGTTCACATTTTCACCGAAAAAGGTATTTTAATGATGTCCGACGTACTTATACTTAATCCGAACGAATGCATCCGAAAAGTGCGTAAACAAAGTCGTCTTGTTAATTATCCACGTTTTTCGCGACAGATAGAAAAAGAATAAATCGGCAAGGTCATTTTCATTCATTACCTTCTCTTCACTCGACTTCGTGCATATTTACAACGTTTATATATAAGAGAACACAGTATATTTCATCAAGAGATAAATATCAATTGGCCAACAAACATTTTTGAAGGAAGAGGAAACAATGACTCATAATGATATTGGACACATAAGTAAGTTTTTCTATGAAAATTTCGATTTGTTTTTTTTTCTGACAAAGGTTATTAAAGATAATCTCAATCAAAGTCAATATGAAGCTTTGAAAAAGTGTTGGATTGTACTGACAGATGCGATATGTGAAGAAAATTCGAAACCGATTGATGAAATTGTTGGTTCAAATGAAGGTGATGCATTGTTTCATTCTATTGGTTATGATAATCCCGATGTTTTAATTCTTCGTTGGTTACGAGCACGTAAATGGGATATCGATGCTGCTGTTCAACAATTAATGGAAACATTAAAATGGAGAAAAGAATCGGCCGTCGATAATTTACTTTTAAAAGGTGAAAACGAACTGAATTTAGATGAAATTCAAACAAAGAAAAGTTATTATATGGGTTATGATAAAGTTGGTCGACCAATCAGTTATATTCACGTTCGAGAACATATTAAAGATCAATTTCCTGCTGAACAAACAGAAAAATTTGGAATCTTTTCCGTCGAAATAGGTCGAAAATTACTTAAAGAATCAATTGAAACAGGAACAGTTGTTATCGATATGAGTGGATTTGGGATGAATAATATGGATTATACTTTAGTTAAATATTTTCTTCATTTACTTGAAAATTTTTATCCCGAATCACTTGGTCTTGCTTTGATTGTTCATTCACCATTGATTTTCTACAGTTGTTGGGCAGTGATTAAACATTGGTTAGATCCAGTTATACAAAATAAAATTCATTTTCTTCGAAATAATCAAGATTTATTGGAATTTATTCATCCATCAAATATTCCCAAATGTTTACAAGGAAATCATCCTGATTTCCAATATGTTCCACCATCCAATGAAGAAAAGACGATGCAGAAAGCATTTTATGCTGATAAACAAGGAAGAAAAATTGCTCGAGCGAATCATCGACGAGCTGCTCGAGATTATTTGAATATAACTTTACGATGGGCAAATGGAGATGAAAATTTAGTAGAAGAAAGAAAACAAGCGACACGGGATTTACGAGATACTTTTGAACGATTTGTTCCTTATATTCATAATCAAACATGTTATCATCGAATTGGAATGATCAATGAACCGATTTTTAATATTGCTTATCAAAATCTTTGTGAAAGAAATCAATTAAATATTGTACAGTTTTAAACTTTATTTGATTAATAATCGAGTTTTCTTCAAAAATATTTTCATCATGTTTTGATTCACCTATTATCTTACTGTTTATATGACTCATTGATTATATAAAAAAGAAAATAAGTTAGAGTAACTGTCAATGACCAGCTCGATTTCCATACCGAAGAACATAAGTATTTTTTTCGTAACGTGATCCATTCTTTAGATAATATTTTCCTTCAAAAGATTCGTTGTTTGGATTCCATTTGGCATGAACTTTCATCTTTCTTCCGGTATTCATTCCGGCATCTGCAAAACCCGGTTGATAATGTTTATCAAAAGCGATTCGTTGTGTTCGTGGTGAATAAACTCCTCTAGCCACGAAACTGCCCATTTGATCTACTCCTTTACCAAACACAGTGTTATTCGCATTAGGATAAAATGCTAATCGAGAATTTTGAGTAGTATGCCATACACCGTCTTTGAAAAACGAACCAATGCCATTTCCAGATTGAAAGACATTTCCACCGAGAGATTTACTTGCACCTAATCCATAACTGACGTAGCTTGCATTGGAAAGTAATGGTGCACCTAATCCAAAAAAGAAGAAGAGAACAGCTGCCAAAATACCAAGTACTAAAAGAACTCCAACAACGCCACCAACTACAGGGCCAACGATAATTCCGACATTTGCACCACTACTACTGCCATTTCCATCTAAATAAGTTAAGGACGTGTTGAAATCGGATACATTAATTGGTTTGTTTCAACTTACCAGTGTTTGACGATTGTGTTGTGGGAGTAGTTGCCGTTGTTACAACTGTCTTGATTACAACTGTTGTTTTTGCTGTCGTAGTTATTCCAGTCGTGGTGGTGGTTGCTGTTCCAGTTGTGGTGGAGGTTGTTGTTCCAGTCGTGGTGGTGGTTGTTGCTGTTCCAGTCGTGGTAGTGGTTGTTGTTCCAGTCGTGGTGGAGGTTGTTGTTCCAGTTGTGGTGGTTGTTGTTTCAGTTGTGGTGGAGGTCGTCTGAGTCGTGGTGGTTGTGGTTCCAGTCGTGGTGGAGGTCGTCTCAGTCGTGGTGGTTGTTGTTGTTCCAGTCGTGGTAGTAGTCGTTGTTTCAGTTGTGGTGGAGGTTGTTGTTCCAGTTGTGGTGGAGGTTGTTGTTCCAGTCGTGGTGGAGGTTGTTGTTCCAGTTGTGGTGGAGGTTGTTGTTCCAGTCGTGGTGGAGGTTGTTGTTCCAGTTGTGGTGGTGGTGGTTGTTGTTTCAGTTGTGGTGGAGGTCGTCTGAGTCGTGGTGGTTGTGGTTCCAGTCGTGGTGGAGGTCGTCTCAGTCGTGGTGGTTGTGGTTCCAATCGTGGTGGAGGTTGTCTCAGTCGTGGTGGTTGTTGTCGTTGAAGTTGTTGTAATGGGGCTGACAGTTGTAGTTGTAGTCGTAGTTAATGCTGGGATACATCCGTAAAAGATTTGAAGTTCTTGAATATCAATAGGACTTAGGGCATTTCGTGTTCCAATTGAAGCATTTGGTGGATTAATTGGCTCGATTGTATCCAAACCATTTGCACTGAAAAACGTTCGTCCGTAATGCATGATCGAATCATAATCATATGGTGTGTATAAATCTACTACTTCACTGGAATTATATTTATCGAAATTATGTGACATGCCTGTGCGATTAAAGAAAAATCTTTGTTTTTTTTCAATGTTATTTTAGAAAGGACTTCACCTGTTTGTATATTCGCCCAGTTAATTTTGACATATGTATCACGATCTGGTCGTGATTGTTCGTGATAAAATCCTAAAAACAATTCGAGTTGATTAAAACAAACAGAAGATAAGAAATTTAACCTAATGCGTGTATGAGTTCATGTTCTATAACACCTGCATTGATGCATGAAGGAATTTCTAATGTAACTGTACGATTGAGTGTATAACCAGTGTATCTTCCAACCTTAATACAATAAAGAATTCTTACATGAACAAAGAATGATCTGATACGATGACTCACATAAGATGAACAACCTATTCCATTCTCGATTTGAATATAATATTGACCATCGGCAGGTATTGCTGGACGAAATGTCAAACAGGCTGAACCGTTTGCCATTAATGTCGCATTTTCCAATGTTCGCATTGCACTGAGGATTACCGCTTGATCTGAAGCACCTAAGAATAAACAACGATAAATGACAATTATTTGGATTTCTATAAGAGAAACTCACTGTAAGCCGATGAAATTGTATAAGGTACAACTCCACCAGGCCATTTAACGTAACTACCAGCCATGGCTGCACCACGTAACATTGTCTACAAAACCAATAGGTTTTCTCTCTTAGAAATCTGAAGAAATTGTTAACTTACTGTTTTTAACGGAGGAACTTTAATATCTCCTCCACCTACAAACACATTGAGAAAGTCTATGAAGATGCATTGAATTAATTTCTTACCAAATTCTTCGGGACTTATCACTCTTTGTGGTACTTGAGTTATCGGTAAACCACATGAAGGATGATTCTTAAGAATCATAACAATTGTGACGAGAAAAGTAATGAACATCATCGTATCTTTCGCCAAAATCCTAAGAACGAATTTTCTTCTTATAATCTCCTGAAAAAAAACCACAATGTAATCTCCCAATAGTTCATCAAAAATCGTTTACCTTTGATAAACGCGTAGATCGAATAATAAGTTATTCTTATAAAAATGAGTAATACAAATAGTTTCTTTGTTGATAAACAAATAAAGGAGTAAATGAAGTATTCCGAAGTTTTTATAGGCATTGATATTTGATTGCACTCAACATTTCTCATATGACGAATACACGGTTTATTCAAAATCATAAAGTCTATTGAGGAAGTAATTACTCAGTTTCGTCTCTATTTGATCTAAACTTCGTCAAGTTCATCTGTAAGAAAATATTTTCCGAACGATGCGTCACCGGTAACAGTCAAATTCGATATCAAATATCACATCTATATGATATTACAATCAAAAACCAATCGTGACATACATGTTTTTGTTTTAGGAAGAATAGTTTTTCATATGACGTAACATTCATTGACGTGTGACGCACCTACAAGTTTCGGGGTCTTCCCCCATAATCGAATCAAAGTCATTTTTTTTTACTTTTTCACCCGTCACTTCGGTAGAAAAACTACCGAATCTTAATTTATTGGAAAAAACTGATTTATATTTATTCGATATGAATCATTAAATACAAATCGAAAGATATGTCAGTTTAAAAATTGTTGATTATCAACGAAATAAATGATGTGCGATTCATCTTCCTACACGAATAGTGATGTTCTTTAATCAAAAATATTAAAACATGTGAATCTACCGTTGTTCAGAGAAAAACATTCGTTTATGACAATAAAATTGACCGAGAAAAATAGTTATTAATCAACTTCAAGCGAATGTTCTCGGAGTGCACTTGGAAAACTTGAATTGGTTAAAAAGAAAACAAGTTTCTCTTATAATGACGAAAAGAGAACTACGATGAATGCTTTTCTTTTTCTTTTTTCTCTGCATGAGTCAAAGATTGTTGTTTTTCTATTTAAGGATGAAAATATTGTGTTTCTTTGTTATTTTAAATACCATCGTACGCGAAACAAACATGACGAAATGGATGATTTTTCATTTTGTGTTCAGCTTAACATTGATATTTGTCAATGGCAAATGTAATTCTAAGCAAATCACTTCAATATCGAGTGGAACATCGTTTGGAATGTGTGTGGGTTATTGTCGCCGATCAATATCAATCAAATCTCAACCAAAATATCAACTAATCGCTTTGAAAGAACCGAATTATTCTCAAAATGAATATCCAACTGAAGAAAAACGATTTTCTTATACGGAAAAACAATGGAAAAAACTGATTAATCTTTTAGACGTGAAAAACTTTGAGAAATTAAATGAAACCATTGGATGTCCAGATTGTGCTGATGGTGGTGCAGAATGGATCGAAATTCAATGTAAAACTGAAAAGAAACGCGTGACTTTTGAATATGGACAATTAATCAAAGGTTTTGAAGGCATTATCAACGAATTGAGAAATTTACGGGAGACATTTCAAATTTAAACAAATCAAAAAGACTTCAAAATTTTATTTTGTGTCGTGTCATAGAGTCTATGATCACTATGCTCCATTTCTTATAAGAGATCATTATACTGAAGATAAGAGTAAATAGAGATAATTAATATACTCGCATTCTGAAACTCATTCGGCTATTATTACTAATTATATCCATGGAATTTTTAACTCAACGAAATTTGACTATTTAATAATTTGATTTGAATTAATATTCTAATATAAGCTTTCAGTTCCAACTATTCATACATCTGCCTGTTACATGGCTGTATGTTAGTGTTTGTGTGATTAACGCAACGCTAAACTAGAGATTAAAATGGTCCTTCTAGTCTAATTGGCTTAGGACGTCTGCTCGGATAACAAAAGGTGTGGATTTGAGTCACACGAAGGTCACGTTTTCTTCGTTCTTCTCTCTTTTCGCTGATGTCCCCTTCATGGCTTGAAAATAAAGCTAACACTGTATCGAGTATTTAGAATCTTTCCCACGCCACCTATCGATCAATTCAAATGGTTAAAGGAACGTACGAGTACGTTGAACTGATCAATCAAAATAATAATTTTCTCTATTCATATTCAATATTTAATTATGTTACGTCAAATAGCTCCAATCGTCTTCAACAGCATCAAACGGTGTTATTCGTTATCACCAAGACATAATGATAAGCGGATCAATTCAAGTAGGCTTTTTTCCAGCCAAAAATAGCTCTTTTAATTTTTTTATTTACAGCAGTAGATCTATCTCACGATGATGATCTTCAGAATATCCTATTGCTTATTTCCTTAAAAAATTGATATTGAGCTATTGTTTTTCTTCATAGGCATTGATGAATGTGAAAAAACAATAAAACAAATAGAATCTGAAGGGCCAGTAAGTTTAGCGAAGATCTTTTTTCTGTAGTTTTAATTAATATTTGCTGTATCCATTGTAGATTGACTTTGCTTGCTTAGAACCAATAGGACTCGATTGGGCATCATTGCCTGACGAAGATTTGAGTCATCTGGATGCACTCGACAATCTCGAAAGCACTGAAGAATCTTCCAATTCATCAAAATCAATAAAAGGTTCTGAATCAACCGTTTCACGTACAATTGCTGGTCAAGATGCAGATGATGGTGGTGTGATCCAGTGAGGAAATGTTTTTCCAAACTTTTCAATGTCACCTGGCTGTTAATCATTCTTTCAGACACCTTTCTTCTCCTGGCGATCCCAGATCGATCATCCCGGTGACTGGATCCGTTGAAATCTGAGTCGGTTCCGGTACAGTTTTCGCCGATTCCAGCAAGTTCCTTGCCGCCGGATTTCGGCCGGAATTGCACAGGAAATATCCGATCAGTTCCTGGCCGTTTCCAGCTCAAATTTTGCAGGAAACGGTTGGAAAACGAACCGAACCGACTGTGCCATAATAACCTGGGATATAGCAGATTTGTTCATGCCAAATTTAGGGTATCAACGAAAACTTGTTGCTACGATTTCCTCATCGTTTTATAACCAATTGCATGGTGTTCGAGTATTGGTTATACCATTGTCATCGGTTATGAACAACAGTTCTTCATCGTAAGATAATTACGCCAAGTGACACTACTCATCGTCAAATGATCTCACCGAAATATTTGCGCAAGACAAAATGCAGTCTTAAGCACAACGTACTCAAAAGATCACTGACCTGGGTGGCACCTCCGTGTATTGTCGATTGTATCGGATATTTGATTTTATTTCGAAAAATAAAGTGACGCTTTCATTCTGAGACATTTTGCCCAGTTCTATGTTGAACAGGAAATAACAATTTAACTTAATTTGAAAGTTAGAAGAATCTTTATCAATATTTTTGTCGTCTACGTTTAATATCAAAAGAACTTTATTTCTTTGGGAACATGAAGAAAAGACGTTCCTCTCATACTGTCATTCTAGAGAAACAACTAGCTTCTATGATATTGGAAATTTCGAAGTACAAGAAGGATCTACTTAAATTCTATTTAGAGTTTATTCCGATAAAATCCATAATTATATGCACTCTTTGTATAATCATCTTCTTCATCGTTCAGAGAACTTTGAAAATAATGATCTAACACGTCATCATTCGATGGAACAGATCCTATTGGATCGACTTGCAAAGAGTATGCCGAAACGACTAGATCTGAATGTTGTTGATCAGCTTGACAATCGTTCGTTTCTGATAGAATTTGTTTGTCTTCAGTTTCGCAAACAGGATATGATTCGTTTACTCGTTGAATTCCCATAAAATGTAACCATTCACCAATGGTGACAAGAAAATCATGTGCATAAAGTTTGTCAAGCCATTCTTTTGGAATTTTGTCGTATCCATAAAATGCTCCAGCTAATTGTCCATAAATCGCGGCAGTTGTATCAGTATCATCGCCAAGATTCACTGCATTAAGTGCACCTTTTTCAAATGAGTCTTCATCTGCCCAAAAAGACCAAAGAGCCGCTTCCAAAGCATTGATTACATAACCTTTTCCTCGAATTCCTTCATCATAGCCTCCTTTCTTCTTAAACGAACCGTTGATAATGGTTTGAACATCGTCATGTAATTTTTCTTCGCCAAACCAATCTTTGTGATTAACATAAAAGTTTTTATCCAGTAATTCGTCTTTAGTTGAACCTCGAAGGGCAGCAATGATCAATGCCGCATAATAGCGACATGCATCAACTGCTTTTTGATTTGCATGAGTCAATGCAGCACTTCGACCGGCACTTTCAATCGCAATTAAAGGAGATTGAAAATAAAACAAAGGAATTGGTGCAAGACGCATCAAGGCACCATTTCCTGCCGAGTCGGAATTCGAAGATGAAATATCAAAATTAGAGACTCGTTCAACGGAATCCAATGCTAATATATCAGTTTCATAATCAGTTTTACAATAATAAGCAACTTTGAGGATTCGTTGTCGGTTTGCAAATTCTGTTAATGCTTGTCGAGTTGCTTGACCAATGTCAAAACAATGTCCTGTTGATGATAAATATCCATATCTATGCCACCATTTATAACGAACCATTTGATTATAAGGATTAAAAGCATTTTCACTGATTAATGATGATGCAAGACACAATGCCATGGATGTATCATCCGTCCATTTCCCAGCGTCGAGACCCCATGTACCTCCACCTTGCATCGTTTTCACGGGATTTGTAACTAAATATTCTTGAGGACGAAATTCTACACTTGCTCCCAAAGCATCTCCAACGGCGAGACCGACAAGTGAACCGACAATACGCTTACAAACCTCGTCGTCTTTCTTATGATAAAAAGGTGTCTGGACAAGTTTGATTTGATCGGGAAGAAGTTTTTCATCNTCAACATATCTTTATCAAAATTGTGCCTGCCTTTTCTATTGTTACATGAAAATCATTTTTCATTTTCATTTTCATTCTAATCAATATAAATATATGAAAAAGTAAAAAAACGAACAAACGTGTTTATTTTCACAAAAATAAGATAAAGTTAAAAGCTGTTTGAGCACTTTGATAGAAAAGTTTAGGAGCAAAAACCGTCCAAACAAATAAATGATAACGTTGGAGAAAAACACAAATAGAAAATAAAGTATTAATCAAAGTTAATTGTAACAAATAAATCGTTCGTTGTTCACGTGATAATTTCATTAACCAAAGTATTGATAAACCATATGTTGAAAGATAAATGAAAAATCCGTGAATAATTGGAATATAAATTGGAATACCGACAAAACCTGTTGAAATATCAATTGTTACAAATGAATTCGAATTTCCCTTTCAAAAAAAAAACACAATTTTAAGAAGATTTTTCTTTATGAAAATACGTACAAGATGAAAAAATGCCGATTGACTTAATAAAAATGCCAATGAACCATCAGTTACCAATAAATATTCATAGAATATCATATAAATGACGATTATAACACAATTATGTGTTCGACAAATTAAATACAAAAGACAAAAGAGAATATTTGTTATTGACATCTCTTTCCAGATCAAAAAATAAATTAATAAACCATAATAAAACAATGGACTTAATGATGAAAACGAACTAAATGAGAAAAAAAACACCAATAAAAACGAATCAAAATCGAAAAAAAAAACAAAACCTGAATAAATTCCATCGATAAATGAAAATAATCATCGGTAACAAATATATTAATCGACATTGTTTTGATTTATTTAACAAATAAACAAATACAATTGAAGAAAGAATATGAATAACAAATAAATAGATTTGATGATCAGATCTATTTTCAAATAATATTATTAAGAAGAAGATTAGATAAAAGGTAAATTAATGACTTACTTATTAAGAAAATCACCAATATCAGAAAGATTTAACCATTTATTTCCAGTTTGATTCCATGAACGAATTAAACGAGAGAAAAGAAAGAAAATGAAATATTGGAAAGATTTTTCTTCAAATGTTCGAAGAAATAAATAAGTTGATAATAAATAATACCAAGTTTGATGTTCTTCTTCAATAAAACTACTTGAAAATAACGAAAGACAATGAAATATTGGATAATAAATCAATAATTGATTTGATAGATTCATTTTCTCTTCAAATTTATAATTAATTAATCTTCTTTGACCTTGTTTCAATCCAATGAAACAAAAAGTAATTATACCAATTGATAAACTAACAAAAATTCGATTCGAAATCACATAAAACAAGATTGAAATAACAATTGAAATTAAACACATTTTGGAAATATGAAACCAAAGAAGAATTGTACGCTAAAGAAAAATTATTTTTCAATTCAATTTGTAAAAAGTGAACTTACGAGAAAGAAGATGAAAATACTCAGAATTAACATGAAAATATCTTGTTCATTGGCTAATTTCATCGCTTGTTGTCGAATTTGTTGTAGATCATTGAATGCAGTTGATAATTTCGTATTTGATAAAAGATTAACCAATTGTCTTCGATTATCATCGATTAAACATTGAAATAAATTTGTTTTATTAACAAATTGAAAAGTTTTCAGAACATTTTCAATTAAAATTCCTAAATTATTAAATGGAATTGCAATTTCAAGTAATGCACTTAATGTTGGTGTTAAATCAATTTGAAAATATTCATTTTTATCTCGATAAATCTCTTGAAATCCTTTAGAAATAAAAACTGCAGGAACAAAGATTTCTTCATTCGATGATCCACCATGTCCACCTTGATCAATCATTCCATGATCACCTGTAATTAAAATTACATCATTTAAATTAACTTTTGAATAAACATATTCAATCATTTCATCCATTTCAAGTAATTTATCTTGAACAAATGAATTAAATGCACCATAAGCATGTCCAATATGATCGAGACCTAAATAATGAACGATTAATAAATCCCATTGTTCTATTTGATTTAATTCGACATAAAGACCGTGAGTTACATTAATATCGATCTAAATTAAAAAGAAAAACTTTGAAATTTTCATTGGTAACAGTTTCAAATTCGAACTTCTTTGAAATCCGAAACGAAAAATGATTGAAGACCATATGAACGAGAGAAAATTTCATATGGAAATAATTTCAACCAAGTATCATCACCATAAAAGACAATTTTCTTCTCGGGATACTTTTTCTTATATTGAAATAACAAATTATCGATTTCCAATGAAGAGGAATTATAATTGAACAGCACATCCCAAAATGACGGAATTGTTCCTGTTAAAATTGCCTAAACAACATTCGTTTATCGAATTTTCCAATGAAATTTTACTTTTAATCTTGGTAATGTTACAGTTGGTGTGTGAGTTCGTAATTTAATCGATAAAGCTTTCTTTTCTTCTTCGAGTTTACTGATCGATCTGAGATAAAATGAATGATTTCTATTGAAGATGTAATCAGAACGTAATGCATCGATTAAAATGATAATCACACGACGATTTGTTGATTCTAAAGCATCGAAAAAAAAACGATTTTAAGATCAAAATGCATAAAAATTCGAAAATACTTGGCGAATTGAAACATGATCGAGTAGAAATTTGATTTGTCGATGATGAGAATGGGAAAAGCCCTTGCATTAACAAAATAAATGCAAATAAATGAAAGACAATCACAAACAATTCCGATCGCATTGATATTCGAAATGAAATGTTCAATTTTTCTTCGAGATATTGACCAACAGAATGAATTCATTTTCCATAGATGTCGCTTTTTAGACAATAATTTTCGAAATGGACTTTTGATTTTATTCTGCATGAATATTCATGACAACTTCGGTTGGAATTAAAACGAAAACATGTTGACTAATATGTTACATAAACAAGATCAAAGACAATTTGACTCTTGACAAAAAACAAAACACGAACGAAAAGTGTTAATTGTCTTTGAGATCGATTTGTTGTTGTTGTTCGATCTGTTGAACAAGTGAATCGACAACATCCGTATGATTTCGAATATTTTGTAAATAAACTCGAATAGTTAATGATACAACAATACATTGAACTAGTTGAGTGAAACGTCGTACGGCATCGGAAAATTAATATTTATATAACAAATATTTCCACAATAATTCCGAATATTTATTTTCGATCGATAAAATCTTTTGTGGATCTCGTAAATGATTTGTCGAACAATCTCCATCATATGATGTACAATTACTCGCACAAAATGCAACTAATGCTAATGTTAATTTAATTGTATAAAGATCTTGATCAAGTAAAGAGATTTGTAATAAAGTTAAATTGAATGCCATTGTACCAAATGCGTTTTCAAGTGCTTTACGAACAGCAGAATCTATGATTAAGCCAGAATTCCATAAAATAAATCCTCCGGCGAAACAACTAACGTTATCAACAGCACCACGTAATACAATTGAACGATCATGTGATGATAAAGTATGAAAATCTCGATTTGCTCGAATACAAGGTTCAGTTTGTTTGTAAATTAAACCACAAATTTCTAAAATTCGCTTTGAACTCATTCGATAACGTAATTTTGGATGTGTTCGATCTAATTCTTGAACAAATTCTTTACCAGCTTGAATAGCATGTCTTTCATCATATGAATGAACGAGATTTCTCATTAATGCCCATTGATCACTATCTAATAACGATGAATCATAGTTTAATAAATTTAACGGACGTATCTAAATATTCAAAGAAAGATTTTCAACCAATGAGAAAGAAAAATCTTCTGCATTCGAATAATAATTCTTTCCTGTTTTTTTTTTATCCCTAGAAATAATTCTTCTGTCATTAAAAATAAGAGGACATGTCTCCTCGTACGTGAATCTCTGAATTAGGCACGATCAACTAACCTGTAGAGGTATTCGACTTTTCCATGGCACGACTTCCGATGACGTAGAAGCAATAGCTTCGACTTTTCTTTTCACAACTCTGGATGAACGAAACATTTCGGTGGACATTCCAACTGTAAAACATTTTACTAATCGACATGCTGAACAGATATGACGATTATAAACATTTATTTCACAATGTCCATCGAAATCACATCGAAATGTTTTCTAAAATCATCAAGAAAAACAACTTGTTTTTTTTTTCTTAAGTTCATCTTCATACAAACCTTTTTGTTATCCGCATTTCTTTTGAAGAACATCTTACATGATTCACACGCCATAGCGCCATAATATGAATATGAAGCGGATGTTCCACAAATTTTACATTGTGATAGAGTTAAATTTGTTTTCGACATGATAAATACCGTTGAAGAGTATCCGAACAATGTTCACTTGTTTCTCGTCTTAAAAATAAGAGACTTGACATACAAATACGCACAAGTCGTTGTGTAATGAGAAGGCACTATCCTTTCTATGCAAAGTTATTAAAACGACGAAGAAAAAAGAAAGTCGAGAAGAGAATAAGCAGACATATCTTGTTTTTTTTCCTTTCTTCTTCATGAAAAGGCAATTGGTGTAGAAAGAACAGCAACATATCAAGTCAAAAACGTGCATGTGAGGAAAAAGAACGCGAAGAAAACATATGGATTGATTTGAAACTTTCAGGTGCATCTCATGACATGTCAACACTGATGATAGGATACTTTTCAGTGTTACACAACAAATCTGAGATGATTAGAGTCAACGAAAAAAAAAATGACACGTTTTATCTATCAAATTAATTATTTTAATTGAATAAATCATCTAATATTTAGAGAAAATGGATTAACTTTTACGAATTTATCTTTAATAAGTTGTGAGATTGAATTTCATATTTGAAGAATCTGATAATGAAGAACAACATGTTTCTTGTTTCAATCAGTCTTGACTGTTAATCTCGAGAGAAAAGGATATGTTTAGAAAATAGAGTCAAACAAAGGTCGTAAGAACGGATTTATAATAATAGAATTTATTCAAACACATAAAGATCTGTCATTTGTTATCGACTGGGAAATATGGTTTTCTTTTCTGACAACACATTCCAAAATAAAAAGAATTACGATTGTTTAGAACAATTTTCCATGAATGTTTTTTCGGGTCGAATAGTAAAATCAATAAACACAATCAATGACATCTATCGGAATAAAATTAGGAATGAGAAGAGCAATAAATGAAACTATAGTTGTTATTAGCGAAAATCATCTGATGAATATGACTTTATTAAAGTGATTTTTGATTGATACTTTGTACAAAAGTTTTTGGATAAATTTATACACGTTTGATTGAGGAAACTTTCATCAAAACGACAATTATAACAAACAAAAGAAAAGTTTTCATTATTAGGTCAATTTATTAATGAGATTTTCTTTCAACAATGTTCATAGGCATAAAAGGCACTTGAAAATGAAATTTTAATTAATTCTTCCGTGTCAACATGACATTAAACAGATATACATTACAATATTATTCTTTTCAAGAAAGAAACGTGACATATTCCATTGTATAATAAAATCAAGTAAAAAGCTTTTTGTATTTTCTCTCGCATCAACACGAGAACAGTACGATCAAATGAAAATCTAATCAATCAAAGGTCTATTAACTTCATAATGGTTTCTGGTTTATTACTTGTTGTGTGTGAACATCTATAATGATGAAACATCGATGTGAAGCTAGCACGAACAAACAATATGTTAGTTAAAAACTTTTTTACTAAATATGTCCTCTCCGTGAAAACTATACCATTCGATGCAGAATTTAATTCTGAGTTGAATGGTATAGTTTTCACGGACAGGATATATTTAGTAAAAAAGTTTTTACCTAACATATCGTTTGTTCGTGCTACCTTTACACCGATTGATGAAACATCGTGGAAATAACGAATCAATTCTAAATTTCCGTTTTGTATCAACATACAGATGTGCAAATATTCTGTACTTTCCGTTCATTTCCAGGAAATTAATTCAGTCTACGTGTCGTCGTCTAACGAGGAATGAATCGATATTACTTAGAAAATGTCCAAATACAATAAGAAGAAATTCGAGATTTGAACGGAAATGAATGTGTGAATGTGGAAACGATCTTTTTCTTTATTGAGAAAACAATAAATTTATTTATGATAGATAAATAATTAAGATATAGATTACTTTAGATGGAAAATACTCCGAGTCTAAATAAAAAGATAAGAATTCTCATTTGAGAAATCTATTCGAGTAGAGAAAAGGATAAAGATGTTTTTCTCTCCTATCATGTTCACATCTCATCGAAAAAAGGTATTTTAATGATGTCCGACGTACTTATACTTAATCCCAACGAATACATTCGAAAAGTGCGTAAACAAAGTCATATTGGTATTTATCCACGTTTTTCGCGAGAGATAGAAAAAGAATAAATCGACAAGGCCATTTTCATTCACCACCTTTTCCTCACTCGACTTCGTGCATATTTACAACATTTATATATAATAACACAGTATAATTTCATCAAGAGATAAATATCAATCGACCAACAAACATTTTTGGAGGTAAAAAAAAGGAAGAGGAAACCATGACTCATAATGATATTGGACACATAAGTAAGTTTTTCTATGAAAATTTCGATTTTTCTGACAAAGATTATTAAAGATAATCTCAATCAAACTCAATATGAAGCTTTGAAAAAGTGTTGGATTGTACTGACAGATGCGATATGTGAAGAAAATTCGAAACCAATTCATGAAATAGTTGGTTCAAATGAAGGTGATGCATTGTTTCATTCTATTGGTTATGATAATCCCGATGTTTTAATTCTTCGTTGGTTACGAGCACGTAAATGGGATATTGATGCTGCTGTTCAACAATTAATGGAAACATTAAAATGGAGAAAAGAATCTACTGTTGATAATTTACTTTTAAAAGGTGAAAACGAATTGAATTTAGATGAAATTCAAACAAACAAAAGTTATTATATGGGTTATGATAAAGCTGGTCGACCAATCAGTTATATTCACGTTCGAGAACATATTAAAGATCAATTTCCTATTGAACAAACAGAAAAATTTGGAATCTTTTCTGTAGAAATAGGTCGAAAATTACTTAAAGAACCAATTGAAACAGGAACAGTTGTTATCGATATGAGTGGATTTGGGATGAATAATATGGATTATAATTTAGTTAAATATTTTCTTCATTTACTTGAAAATTTTTATCCAGAATCACTTGGTCTTGCTTTGATTATTCATTCACCATTGATTTTTTATAGTTGTTGGACAGTAATTAAACATTGGTTAGATCCAGTTATACAAAATAAAATTCATTTTCTTCGAAATAATCAAGATTTATTGGAATTTATTCATCCATCAAATATTCCCAAATGTTTACAAGGAAATCATCCTGATTTTCAATATATTCCACCATCCAATGAAGAAAAAACAATGCAGAAAGCATTTTATGCTGATAAACAAGGAAGAAAAATTGCTCGAGCGAATCATCGACGAGCTGCTCGAGATTATTTGAATATAACTTTACGATGGGCAAATGGAGATGAAAATTTAATAGAAGAAAGAAAACAAGCGACACGTGATTTAAGAGATACTTTTGAACGATTTGTTCCTTATATTCATAATCAAACATGTTATCATCGAATTGGTATGATTGATGAACCGATTTTTAATATTGCTTATCAAAATCTTTGTGAAAGAAATCAATTAAATATTGTACAGTTTTAAATTTTATTTTATTAATAATCGAGTTTTCTTCAAAAATATTTTCATCACAAAGATCAATCAATCAATACATCACAATATATGACTTATAGATCCAAGTTTTGATTTACTTATAATCTTACTGTTTATATGACTTATTGATTATATAAAAAAGAAAATAAGTTAGAAAAATTGTCAATGACCAGCTCGATTTCCATACTGAAGAATATAAGTATTTTTTTCGTAACGTGAACCATTCTTTAGATAATATTTCCCTTCAAAAGATTCGTTGTTTGGATTCCATTTAGCATGAATTGTCATTTTTCTTCCGGTATTCACTCCAGCATCTGCAAAACGCGGTTGATAATGTTTATCAAAAGCGATTCGTTGTGTTCGTGGTGAATAAACTCCTCTAGCCACAAAACTACCCATTTGATCTACTCCTTTACCAAACACAGTATTATTAGCATTAGGATAAAATGCTAATCGAGTACTTTGAGTAGTATGCCATACACCATCTTTGAAAAACGAACCAACGACATTTCCAGATTGAAAGACATTTCCACCGAAAGATTTACTTGCACCTAATCCATAACTGACGTAACTTGCATTGGAAAGTAATGGTGCACCTGAACCAAAAAAGAAGAAGAGAACGGCTGCCAAAATACCAAGTACTAAAAGAACTCCAACAACGCCACCAACTACAGCACCAACGATAATTCCGACATTTGCACCACTACTACTGCTATTTCCATCTAAATAAGTTAAGGACGTGTTGAAATCGGATGCATCAATTTGTTTGTTTCAACTTACCAGTGTTTGGCGATTGTGTTGTGGGAGTAGTTGCCGTTGTTACGACTGTCTTGATTACAACTGTTGTATTTGCTGTCGTAGTTGTTCCAATTGTAGTGGTGGTTGTTGTTCCAGTTGTGGTAGTGGTCGTTGTTCCAGTTGTGGTGGTCGTTGCTGTTCCAGTTGTGGTGGTCGTTGCTGTTCCAGTTGTGGTAGTGGTCGTTGTTCCAGTTGTGGTGGTTGTTGCTGTTCCAGTTGTAGTGGTTGTTGTAATAGTGCTGACAGTTGTAGTTGTGGTCGTAGTTAATGCTGGGATGCATTCGTAAAAGATTTGAAGTTCTTGAATATCAATAGGACTTAGAGCATTTCGTGTTCCAATTGAAGCACTTGGTGGATTAATTGGTTCGATCGTATCCAAACCATTTGCACTGAAAAATGTTCGTCCGTAATGCATGATCGAATCATAATCATATGGTGTGTATAAATCCACCACTTCACTGGAATTATGTTTATCGAAATTATGTGACATGCCTATACGATTAACGAAAAATTTTTGATTTTTTTTTCAAAATTATTTTAGAAAGGACTTCACCTGTTTGTATATTCGCCCAGTTAATTTTGACATATGTATCACGATCTGGTCGTGATTGTTCGTGATAAAATCCTAAAAACAACTCGAGTTCATTAAAACAAACAGAAGATAAGAAATTTAACCTAATGCGTGTATAAGTTCGTGTTCTATAACACCTGCATTGATGCATGAAGGAATTTCTAATGTAACTGTACGATTGAGTGTATAACCAGTGTATCTTCCAATCTTAATAAAATAAAAGATTCTTATATAAAAAAAGAATGATTTGATAAGATGACTCACATAAGATGAACAACCTGTTCCATTCTCGATTTGAATATAATATTGACCATCAGCAGGTACTGCTGGACGAAATGTCAAACAAGCTGAACCGTTTGCCATTAATGTCGCATTTTCCAATGTTCGCATTGCACTAAGGATTACTGTTTGATCTGAAGCACCTAAGAATATACAACAACAAATGACAAGAATTTGGATTTCAATAAGAGAAACTCACTGTAAGCCGATGAAATTGTATAAGGTACAACTCCACCAGGCCATTTAACGTAACTACCAGCCATGGCTACACCACGTAACATTGTCTACAAAATCAAAAGATTTTATCTACTAGAAATCTAAATAAACTGTTAACTTACTGTTAATGGTGGAATTTTAATGTCGCCTCCACCTAAAAACATATTGAGAAAGTCTATGAAGATGCATTGAATTAATTTCTTACCAAATTCTTCAGGACTTATCACTCTTTGTGGTACTTGAGTTATCGGTAAACCATATAAAGAATTTTTATCAAGAATGATAACAATTGTGAGTAGAAAAGTAATGAACATCATCGTATCTTTCAATAAAATCTTAAGAATGAATTTTCTTCTTATAATCTCACAATAGTTCATCAAAAATCATTTACCTTTGATAAACGCGTAGAACGAAGAATAAGTTATTCTTATAAAAATATTGTAATACAAATAATTTCTTTGTTGATAAACAAATAAAGAAGTAGATGAAGTATTCCGAAGTTTTTATAGGCATTGCTATTTGATTGCAATCAACATTTATCATGACGAATACACGGTTTATTAAAAATCATCAAGTCTATTGAGGAAGTAATTATTCAGTTTTGTCTCTATTTGATCTAAATTTCATCAAGTTCATTCGTAAGAAAATATTTTCCGAGAAGAAGATGAGTGACTGTTAACAATCAACTTCGATATCAAATATCACATCTATATGATATTACAATCAAAAATCAATCGTGACATACATGTTTTTCTAGGAAAAAAAGTTTTTCATATGACGTAACATTCATTGATGTGTGACGCACCTACGGGTTTCGGGGTCTTTCCCCAAATCGAATCAAAGTCATTTCTTTTCACTTTTTCACCCGTCACTTCGGTAGAAGAACTACCGAATCTTAATTTATTCGAAAAAAATCGATTCATAATTATTCGATATGATTCATTAAATACAAATCGATAGATATGTCAGTTTAAAAGTTGATTATCAACGAAATAAATGATGTGCTATTTATCTTCCTTCATGAATAGTGATGTTTTTTAATTAAGAAAAAAAAACATTCAAATCTACTGTGTTTTTGGAGAAAAACATTTGTTTATGACAACGAAATTGACAGAAAAAATAGTTATTAGTCAACTTCAAACGAATGTTCTTGGAGTACACTTGAAATACTTAAATAGGATAAAAATAAAACAAGTTTCTTTTGATGACGGAAAAATAACTACGTTGAATGCTTTTCTTTTTCTTTTTTCTCTTACATGAGTCAAAGGTTGTTGTTTTTCTATCTGAGGATGAAAATATTCTGTTTCTTTTTTATTTCGAAATATCATCGTACGCGAAACAAACATGATGAAATGGATGATTTTTTATTTTGTGTTCAGTTTAACATTGATATTTGTCAATGGTAAATGTAATTTCAAGCAAATCAGTTCAATATCAAGTGGAACATCATTTGGAATGTGTGTTGGTTATTGTCGTCGATCAATATTAATCAAATCTCAACCAAAATATCAACTAATCGCTTTGAAAGAACCGAATTATCCTCAAAATCAATATCCAACTGAAGAAAAACGATTTTCTTATACGGAAAAACAATGGAAACAATTAATTAATCTTTTAAACGTGAAAAACTTTGAGAAATTAAATGAAACCATTGGATGTCCAGATTGTGCTGATGGGGGCGCAGAATGGATCGAAATTCAATGTAAAAATGAAAAGAAACGTGTGACTTTTGAATATGGACAATTAATCAAAGGTTTTGAAGGTCTTATCAACGAATTGAGAAATTTGCGAGATACATTTCAAATTTAAACAAAACAAAAAGTCTTCAAAATTTTATTTTGTGTATCACCATAAAGTCTATGATCATATGTTTCATTTGGTATAAGAAACTATCATATTGAAGATAAGAGTGTAAATAGAGATAAGTAATTTACTTGCATCCTCAAAATCATTCGACTATTGTTACTAATCTATATGCATGGAATTTTCAACTCAACAGAAATTTGACTATGAGTATTTCGAATCTTTCACTTTCCCGCTCCATCTATCGATCATTTCTATACTTTCTCGTTCTGGGTCTCGCCATAGGCCTAAAACACACTGAAATGAATTTGAGTTAGAATCGTATCATTCAATAAATTCTGTTTTATGTCTCAAGTCATCTTATTTAGTTGATTTAACGATAAAACAAAACGTGCTGAACCAATCCTATCGCTTTATTCAACATTGACGTTAATATGCTTGTTGATCTGTTTTCGACCATATTATTTTGCTCTTGGCCTGATCAGCTAAAATATTTTTCTTCGTTCAATCTTTGATTATGTTACGTCAAATCGTTCCGATTTTCTTCAATAACATCAAACGATGTTATTCATTATCATCAAGACGTTGTGATAAGCCAATCAATTCATGTAGGTACTTTTTCAGTCAAAAATAGTCCTTTTCATTTTTTTTGCTTACAGCATCAAGTTCGTCTCATGATGAAAATTTTCACAGTATTTCATTGTTTTATTTCCTTAAAAAATTGATATTGAACTATTGCTTTTCTTTATAGGTATTGATGAATGTGAAAAAACAATAAAACAAATAGAATCTGAAGGACCAGTAAGTTTGGCGAAGATTTTTTTTTCTGCAGATTTAATTAATTTTTGCTCTATCCATTGTAGATTGACTTTGCTTGCTTAGAACCAATAGGACTCGATTGGTCATCATTGCCTGACGAGGATTTTAGTCATCTGGATGCACTCGACGATCTCGAAAGCACTGAAGGATCTTCCAATTCAACAAAATCAATGAAAGGTTCTGAACCAACCGTTTCATCTGCAAATTTCGGTCAAAATGCTGGTAGTGATGAAATCAAGTAAGTAAATTTATTTGCTTGTTTTTTAATGTCACTCATTTGTTAATCAATTCAATTAACTAAATCATTCTTTTAGACATTTCTTTTCACTTGACGAAATAGCCGCTTTCTTCATACCCAATTTAGGCAATAAACAAAGACCTGTTTTTATTCTATCATCTTCGTTTCGTAATCGATTACATGATGTTTGACTATTGATTGTAGCATTCTCATCGGTGATCAACAACACTGTGTTTCATCGTATGATAATTACGCCAAGTGATACCAATCATTGTAAAATGATTAAAACAGAATCCAGTTTATTATTCGACTATACAACGATGATCTCACCGGCACATCTGAAACGAACAAAAGATAGTCTTCAGTGCGACGTTCTCAAGAGAGCATTGGTCTGGTGGCATCACTGTTTATTGTCAATCGTGTCGAAGATTTGATTTTGTTTAGAAAAAAAAAGGATTCATGGAAAAATCAAGTAATGTCCTCATTCTGAGACAATCTATCAATTTCTACGATGAACACGAAACAACTATTTCATTTAGCTTAAGAGTTAGAGGGAAAAAACGAATTCTTATCAATATTTTTGAATAAGTCGTAATAACTCATTTGCGTTAAATATCGAAAGAACTTCGTTTCATTAAGAGCAAAAGAAAAGAAAAAACAGAAAACTTTCCTCGTATGTCGTCGTCCTAAAGAAATAACTAATTTATATGATACTGGCAATTTCAATGTACAAAAAGAATCTACTTTAGGGTTTATTCCGATAAAATCCATGATCATATGCATTTCTTGTGTAAGTATCTTCTTCATCGTTCAGAGAACTTTGAAAATAATGATCTAACACGTCATCATTCGATGGAACAGATCCTATTGGATCGACTTGCAAAGAGTATACCGAAACGACTAGATCTGAATGTTGTTGATCAGTTTGACAGTCGTTCGTTTCTGATAAAATTTGTTTGTCTTCAGTTTCATAAACAGGATATGATTCGTCTACTCGTTGAATTCCCATAAAATGTAACCATTCGGCAACAGTGACAAGAAAATCATGTGCATAAAGTTTTTCAAGCCATTCTTTTGGAATTTTATCATATCCATAGAACGCTCCAGCTAATTGTCCATGAATCGCGGCAGTTGTATCAGTATCATCGCCAAGATTCACTGCATTAAGTGCACCTTTTTCAAATGAATCTTCATCCGCCCAAAAAGCCCAAAGAGCAGCTTCCAAAGAATTGATTACATAACCTTTTCCACGAATTCCTTCGTTATATCCTCCTTTCTTTTTAAACGAACCTTGTATAATTGTTTGAACATCGTCATGTAATTTGTCTTCTCCAAACCAATCTTTATGATTTATATAAAAGTTTTTATCCAGTAATTCGTCTTTAGTTGAACCTCGAAGGGCCGCAATGATCAATGCCGCATAGTAGCGACATGCATCAACTGCTTTTTGATTTGCATGAGTCAATGCAGCACTTCGACCAGCACTTTCAATCGCAATTAAAGGAGATTGAAAATAAAATAAAGGAATTGGTGCAAGACGCATTAAAGCACCATTTCCCGCTGAATCGGGATCCGAACATGAAATATTGAAATTGAAGGTGCGTTCAACTGAATCCAATGCTAACATATCAGTTTCATAATCATTTTGACAATGATAAGCAACTTTCAGATTTCGTTGTCGGTTTGCAAATTCTGTTAATGCTTGTCGAGTTGTTTGACCAATGTCAAAACAATGTCCTGTTGACGATAAATATCCATATCTATGCCACCATTTATAACGAACCATTTGATTATAAGGATTGAAACCATTTTCACTGATTAATGATGATGCGAGACATAATGCCATAGATGTGTCATCTGTCCATTTTCCAGCGTCAAGACCCCATGTACCTCCACCTTGCATCGTTTTCACGGGATTTGTAACTAAATATTCTTGAGGACGAAATTCTACACTTGCTCCCAAAGCATCTCCAACGGCGAGACCGACAAGTGAACCAACAATACGCTTACAAATCTCGTCTTTTTTATGATAATAGGGTGTCTGGACAAGTTTAATTTGGTCGGGAAGAAGTTTGTCATCGGGATGCGGAAATTGTAACATTAGACTAATCTAAAAACAAATTCAAACTTTCAACACAATGTATTTCTATCAATTTCATCAGATTTAATTATACAAATCTTAACTACAGAAGAATAAGAACGCTAAATAAAAAAGAAATTTCGTTTTTTTTTTATTAAAATTCATTTTAATGTGACAAAACAGAATGTACCATGTAAAAAATTTTTCGACGATGATTTCATTTATGTTTACGAGCAGATACAACACGATGTTGTTCCCATCGTTCTCCTTCGTACACAATCCATTTACTTATTTTTTCTAAATAACCATGAGCAAAAACTTGATTGATCCATTCTTTTGGTAATTCTTTATATCCATAAAATGCACCAGCCAATTGTCCGTAGATCGCAGCTGTTGTATCAGTATCATCACCAAGATTTACAGCTTTGAGAACTCCTGTTTTAAACGACTTTTCATCTGACCAAAAAGCCCAAAGAGCAGCTTCGAGAGCTTTAACAATGTAACCTTTTCCAGCGATATTTCCATCATGTCCCTTTGCATCTTTAAATGAACCTTCAGCAATCTCTTGAATATCTTTTTCTAAAGGTTCGTCTCCAAACCAATGTCTATGTGCTGAATAGAAGTTACGAGCAAGTATTTCTTCTTTTGTATATCCAAGCAAAGCAGCAACAATCAATGCACCGTAATATCGACATGCATCATACGCTTTTTTATCTCCATGAGTTATTTCACCACTTCGACCAGAAAATTCCACAGCGAGGAATCGATTTCGATAGAAGAATAACGGAACGGGAGTAAGACGCATTAAAGCTCCATTACCAGCAACTTCGTCTTCACTACAATAGACCTCAAATTCCTCAAGTAAACTTAGATCTGAAAGATTATCCAATTGTTCCAATGGAATGTTATGTTGTTCAGAGAATTCATTTTGACGTTTTTCAAATTCATGTATCGCTTGACTTGTCGCAGCACCAATATCGAAACATAGACCAGTTGATGACATATATCCTTTTCTATACCACCATTTGTAACGAACAAGTTGATCATATGGAATAAAATCTCTTCGAGCTATTAAAGAATTTGCTAAACAAAGAGCCATTGAAGTGTCATCAGTGAACTAAATACAATTGATGAAATTCGATTTGATTAACAAAAGATGAGCTTTACTTGTCCCGCTTCGAGTCCCCAAGTTCCTCCACCTTCAAGTTTTGTTACTGGATTATTTTTCATATATTCATATGGACGAAATTCTACACGTGCACCAAGAGCATCACCTAATGCCAGACCAAAAATTGAACCTTGGATTTTATCAAGAATGTGTTCATCTAAGTGACCAGGTGGATCTTCCATTTGATTTTCGAGTTCTTGAGGTGTTTTTGATGTATCCGTATGTCCATCTTTCAATTGTAAATCAAGCCATTTATGATCTAAATTTTACAAAAAAAACCTTTATTTTCATATCTATCAAGAAGAGAATGAAAACGAAGATTTGACATAAATCTTACCGGAATGAAATGCACATGCTGGATGATGAATATGAGATTTCGATTTTGTTTTATCAATTGGTGAATGTCTTTGATCAGAATCTTAAAAAAAAGAATCTTCGATAAATCTCTGTTGTATTTTTAATGAAGCATCAATTACTTAAATGTGCTAAATCTTTAGAAATATCGAATTTATCATGACTTGACGATCTGTTTGTGTTTAAATGTTCGTCTTCATGTTCGAGTGACAATGAATGAACATTTTGATCGAATGGTCCATCGTTACTGGGATTATTGATATGAAAAGAAGATCGTGAATGATCGTTCATCGATGGTTGATCGTCATTTTCATCATGAGATATGTATGGAGATTCAGATTGATGATTATTCTTGTGTCCATTATAAGTTTCATGTGAATGATCTTTAAATAATGTTTTCGAAGTTTCGTCATTTCTGTAACGACCAGGCGTCTGATGTTCGTTATCGGAGTCAGGTGACGAATTCTGTCGATGATCATCATTTTCATGTGACATATTTTTGTCGTTTGAGAATTAACTTTTTGATTTGAAATCTTGATTAAATGAATGACAGATATGTTTTTCTCTAATGTTTGTGCTCAATGTTGTGAGGCATTTGGGTTGTTACGATTTTTTCTTCTTCTTCTTCCTTTCTTGATTCAACACACGTTGCTAACAACAATTGCGCACAAAGGTTTTGTCATTAAAAAAAAGTAACAGAGAAAAAGGTGACATTGAAATGTATGTTAAACGAGAGACAAAACACGTGGAGAGAGTTTAGAATTTTATGTATTGGACGCAAAAATAAATTTGAAAGAAGAATGAAGGAGCAAAAATGCATTTGATACTTCTCTCTTTTTCCCAGAACAAGACTTTTTCTTCACTCGGTTGTATTTTTGTTTCCATGAAAATCAACTTCGAGCGACTCACACCAATGTCATGAATCCAATGAAAACTTTCTTTTTAATCTACTGATCGAGAATGAACGCGTATCACTTGAACCGGTCAATATGTTCATCTCTTTCGAAAGAAAAATGACATTTTCTGCATCATTTACACTCAGCGATAGTTCAGTCAACTTCGAAGGTATTTCGATGAGACAAAAAAAGAATTGTTCGATATTCGAAAGGACATCGAAAAGTGGTTTCGTCATCTGATATCTTCTATATGTGAACAGTTCAATGTATTAACGTCGTGTTTACGTTAATTTGATTTTTTTTCGGCCATATTTCCGGTAAACAAGCAATACAAACATAAGGCATTAACAGTTGAACAAGATAAGGTGTATAATACAAATAATAATAAGTTATTTCCTCAATAAATGTTGGAAGAAAATAAATTCGAATAAGTGAAACTAAAAAAGCCAACGGAAACCAAAATGCTAAATAAAGTATTGAGATCACCGTTAATTGAATCGTCATCTTTCGATGACTTTTCCAATTCGTTGTTCGTTTCATTTTCTTTGCTTGAAAAATTACACGAATTAATAAACTTAAACTTAATAAAGGAATAATCATTGAAGGAATTAACACATTCGTTGTCCAATCGAATGTCGATAACCATATGACTCTGTTATAACAGATCGAACCACAGAAAATGTACGAATAATCGAAGAAATTTTCACATTGATAAAGAATTACACATGAAAAGTAAAATATTGGAATGTAGGTGACACAGAAGATCAATGGAATGTAATGCCATTTGAATTGACCAAGTTTTGTTTGAACTAAATTTGAATGAAATATTAAAATATGCCGTTCGAATGATGTCCAAGCCATTAAAATTAAATTTATTGTTTGAAGAGAAAAATTAAACCAAGTCCAAAACAAACAGAAGGAATATTTCATAATTTTGACATAACCAAATCGAAGATAATCAAGTGTTATTGGTAATTCTGTTGTTGTTTCAATAAATGAAACGATGACTAATGCAAATATGGAATGATTATTTAAACGAACACGAAATTGACGAACAGTGACAAATTTATAAATGATAAACATTGAAATCAATACCGAAGGAATTTGTAGAACGATGAAGAGATAGAATTTGATGTGACGATAGAGCTCAGGTTCAGAGGGAACAACTTCATTTGATGAATTGATACTCATCTTGGAAAATGAAAATCTTCAATGCATCTCTCAGTTTATTCTTATGAAATCATATTTTCACCTTGAATCATGAGAAAATGATTATATTTCATTGCGGAAAGAGGAGGAATTGAAGTTTCTTTCTAATGAAATATAGTTCAAGTATATTAAATGAAGCTTATTTTGATATAATATGTCGTCCTCTATGATCATTAGAGATGAATGACATTATATTCATTAGAAATAGAAAATGTGATTCTCTTTCATTGAATCAATATGACATTTTCATTTCTCAACTAGTATTATGAATATATACAAAATAAATCATCATCAAAATGATACGAATATATTCTCTAAATTACAATAACAATTTCATTTCAATATTTTTTTACACTTCTGATTTATTCAACATATATCAAATACAATAAAAGAAATCTATGTGGTATAAAACACATTTAAAGAACGAAGACGCATCTTTGTGATTATTATCCAATCGTTCTGATATTATCATCGAAGGCAACATCGTATGATCTACAGAAATAATACGAAGAAGAGAAAAAGCTAAGCAATGTGCGTATATTTTGTGTTCTGTTAAGAAAAAGTACATATGAATCATTCTCGAAAGAGAGAAAAAGAATTGTGAGAAAGGTCACAGGCATGTCTTATTTCTCTTGATGCATGTGTTTTGTCAGTAAGAAAAAGTACATTATGTATTGATAAAAGGAGAAATCCAATGATGAATATTCTTCGTCAAAGAATATTATTTTCATTATAATGACTGATATATTTATTGGTTATTCAATTCAAACGTGGATTAGCGCATTGATTGGTGCTGGTTCCGTTGGTCTTGTTGGAGTTTTACCGTTATTTGTCGTTCCAGATGAAGGAAATAAAAGTAAATTGTATTGAATTGAAAGTAAAAACAGAAAAGATTTCTTTTTTTTTCGTAATCATTTTATAGAAGAGAAACCATATTTGGAAATTTTGCTAAGTGTTGCCGTTGGAAGTCAATTAGCCGATGTATTTTTACATTTATTACCAGAAGCATTTGCACATCCCAATGCATCAGCAATTCAAATTGGTCTTTGGATCTTAGTTGGTCTATTTCTTTTCTTTCTTATCGAACAAATCTTTCCTGATGATCAAAATGATCAATCAAACACAAAAATCAAAGTAAAATCAAAATTACTCAATCTTTTTGAAATAGAAAAGAAGATTTGTTTTTCCAACAATTTAGACAAGTGGTTATTTAAATTTATTAGCGAATTTTATTGATAATTTAACACACGGTGCAGCGATTGGTGGTAGTTTTGCTGTTAGTCCATTCGTTGGTGCAACAACATTAGCTGGAATCATGATTCACGAAATTCCTCATGAAATGGGAGATTTTGCCATTCTTCTCAAAGCAGGTTTTGATCGTTGGCAAGCGACAAAAGCTCAGATTATAACTGGATTTGGAGGAATACTTGGAGCTTCAATGGCACTTTTCTATTCAAATTCAGTTCACAGTAAAATCCAAAAAACTGTTCTTCTAAATCTTATTTTCATAACGACACTTTTTTTCTTAGGTACTTTATGGGTTTTACCATTTACTAGTGGTGCCTTTCTTTACGTTGCATTAGTGAAAACAGTACCTGAGCTATTGAAAGAAAATGATCTTTTGTAAGTATTTTGCATCTTTGTAGCATTTATGATATTAACTTTTCTTTTTCCATAACAGACATTCACTTCGACAATTACTTGGTGTACTTAGCGGTCTTCTTATTATTTACTTTATTATTCTTTATTGTGAATGACAAGTTTTTATTTGATTGACGAGTCGATTCTTTTGAAAAGTGTAAATTGAATAAAATTTTATTTTCAATGAAAACGTACGTTTTTTAATTGATAATTAGGGCACTTAAATAAATTAAATATTGAAGACGTGTGTTCAGTTATCTGAGAATATCCATCCCATGTTATATCATGTAACTATTGTGTCAAATTTTCCGTGACACCATGTGAATATCATTGATATGATCATTACCTATTTCATGCATCATGTGAAAGATCTATAGTACTGATAATCATACAAAACAGCCGTTTCATTTGTTACATGAAGATACAACTTGATCATAAACGAATAGTTGTTGAAAAAAAACCCAGACTGCTAGTTCGATGTATTGAGAGTCTTCATAATCCTGAGCAGGGCGCGGCGCAAGGAATTCGCAATTTTGTATCGATAAGATTAATAGTTTGCTTGAGACTCGTAAACACGTCAATGAACTTACGATCCATTTGATTGCTGTACAATGTAGTAAAATGCCCAAAGCAATCTCTTGGATTATAGGCCAAATTTCTTTTATTCAGATAAACGACACGATGAAGTCGTATTTTTTAGATACTTTTCTATCGTGTTGAATAATCCTTGTGGTGACTTGAATTCATTTCCAAAACTGTGGATGTATGATATAAATCGAGATGTTCGTTCATAAATGTGTTCCGTTATCTCTGATCTAAATTGTTAAGTCCGACTAGAACTGTATTCATCGGGAAAATGTTGAGAAAGGAGAGATGGATGGAACGATAATCACGCTTTTGACTATAATGAAGTGGATTAGATCTTCTATGAAAATGATATGACATCTATCGGTTAGTTATTGGACGTATTATGATCATTCGATTGAAACAAACAAACAACCTTTCTGGCGTCGATCACAGACAGACTAAGTGATATTTAAGAGAAAGAAAACAAAAAAGTCTAATTGAAATATATTGAATTTGCTTGAGTCGAGAACTACATAACTAAATATATATGAGTTGTTGAGATTGATGAAACAAGTAAGTAAACATTTATACTGTTTCACTGGATTTTTTTCGAACAACGAAAATCAATCGTTGAACATCATTCATCAAATGTCGTTCTTCCAGCTGAGCACTCTCAACTTGCCAAACGCCATCGGTCACTTCGTTCCACATTTGAGCAAAACTCTCAGGAGAATGTCTCATCATTTTTGAGCCATCACATACTCCACGTCTGGAATATTCTCCGGGTACTGTGGAACCAACTTGCCGTCCAAGAATTGCACATTTACATAGACGAGTTAATCTTCGACAAACCTCCTTTTGTTTTTCCAGATCAAATAAATGAATAAATGATCCCACGTGAACATAATCAGCTGGTTGAATTGTTTCTAAAAACTGTTCATCGAAAATATCACCGGAACGAAAGACTTGCTTTTCTTTCATCTGTTTCTCATCACAAAATAATTCATAACCTTGTTGAATAAAAAATGGATCAATATCGAAGCCACGAATTTGATCAAGAGATACTCCGTCTGATACCAATTGTCGAACATCTTGCCCAAGACAACATCCAAAATCGATAACTGTTGCGTTTTCATTTTTACATCGAGAAAGAATCTCTTTATAGATCGGATTTCGACAAATGGAGAAATCTAGGAAAGTCCAAAGACCGAGACACGGATAATTATATCGTTGCCAAGCACATTGACGAACTGTGAACAAATGTTCGCGTAACTTCGACGGAGAAATCGATGCATAAGTAAGAAAAAATCTTTCAATGTTCGTATCGATTGGTGGCTCTTCCTTGTAAAAGTTCCATGGCTTTTCTTTGGATTCTTCGACAGACATCTACAAAAAAGACAAATTATCTGATTTTGTTCATAGAATAAGATAAAAGTTTTCTATTCAAATGAATTTCTGATAACAATTTTTCCAAATCCACTTTTCCCTTGTTTTATTAATTCCAATGCATCTTGTGCTTCTTCAAGTTTGATAATTCGGTTGATATATGGTTTCAATTGACCTTCTTTAATCCATTTTACACCTTGTGATAATGAATATTGACAAAAAGATTTTAATTGTGTTCGTTCATTGCCCAACCAATAACGACCAAGATCGGCAAGAAGTAATTTACCCTTTCGTTTCTCGACACGTTCAGTGTCCTTAGTAATATCTTGTCCGAAACGACGAAGAACAATCCATGATCCGCCTTCTTTTACCATTTGAATAGTTTTATCAAAACTTGAAGGTAAATAAGTTGCATCATAAACAACATCAACACCTTTTCCATCAGTCAATTCCATAACACGATCGACAATATTTTCAGTTGCGTGATTGAGTACATCTTTAATGCGATACTTTTCTTTCAATATTTGAATTCCTTCTTCTTTTGATGCTGATGTGGTGACTTGTTTAGCACCACGTATTTGAGCAATTTGTACACTGAAATGACCAACACCACCTGAACCTCCTGGAATATAAACACTTGTTGAAGAATCGATCTTTACCTGACGAAGACCATCCTGAGAAATAAAAATTATCCAACGCAAAGAGAGAATTATTTTCACAAGAATACCATTGCTGATAAAAATGCCACACCAAGTGTTGCTGCGTGAACGTGATCAACGTCTGATGGTTTTGGAACTAATGTATCGATTTCAGCCACTGAATATTGTTGAATTGCACCGCCACCATTACTTGAATTGAGATTTAACATACCAAAAACTTCATCACCAACTTGAAAATCTTTTACTTTATTTCCAATCGCCACAATTCTTCCACTAATATCATAACCAGTTACAGCTGGTAGTTTTGTATTCGAAAAATTCGTTGACGCCATTTTGTAATCAACTGGATTGAGTGAAATTGCATGATTTTCAACAAGAACTTGATCAACACCTAGGTCAGATGGTTCAATGACAGGTGCTGAATTTGTCCATTGAAATGGATCTTGATCACTTATTCGTATCCATTGTAATGCTGACTGTTTTCGTGGAATATTTGCTCTTTGAGATGACATTCGCTTAACGCTGTTAGAAATTGATATTGGACTTATTCGACAGAAAATATACCGAGAAATCATAGAAAATAGTCAAATTAGATCGAGTAAGTTTTTCATGTACTATTTCAGTACAAAAAGGTGCAAAAGAACGAAAGGAAAATCCAAAATCCATATTTTATTCATTCTCAAAGACAATAAGAATTTTCAATAGATGTCAAGTTTATATGATTTTAGTTTTCATTTGAATCATTTTCAAAAATCTTTCAATATAATTCAATCAAATTGTTATTTAAACAAAAGAGAAAACTATCGAATGCAACTGTTCAGTTTATAAGAACTCGATCAAAATAGAGAAGAGAACATCATTGTAAAGTGTGTCAAATGTTTAATTAGACAACAAAATCAAGCATCTGTCCGGAACATTTTGTCTTCCTACGGATTAACACACTCGGTATCTCACTTGAAATATTTACAAGAAAATTGTTTTCACAGAAGGTTCCTTTTGATAATTTACACTCCAGTTGTCCTATTTTTATTTTGCTTGTCTTAAACTTCAGATTGACTTCGTAGATAACAAATTAAAAACGTCAAAAACATTCGATTTCATGAAAAAGAACAGATCAGCTATTTTCTACTCTCATTAGAAATCTCTATTGGTTGAATTCACATTGAAAATGTCTTTATCAAATCAAACTTCATTGAGCAGTATTTTACTTCCAATTCAGCAAAAAACACTTTTTGGTATCTCTTGGTTTTATGTTACATTTGGCATTTTCGGATGTTTTCTAAACATTCTTCTATTTTCTCAAAAACAATTTCGACAAATCTCCTGTTGTACATGTAATTTACTTTCTCTCTTTAACAAAATTCATTTTTTCTTCTAAAGACTTTTTAGTTGCCTCAATCGCGATGTTTACTCAATTGGTGATATTTTCAATTCCATCAATTTATGCTTATTATTATTTTAATCCAATGTCATCTTTTATGTTATATTGTAAAATTCGTATGTACATTATACAAATTACTTCATTTGTTTATCGTTGGTCTTATACTATCGCGTCTTTGGATCGTTATATTCTTTCATCTTCGAATGCTCGTTTACGAAAATTTGCGAGTGTTCAAATTGCAATTCGAGTTTTACTTGGAATTGTTTTGATTTCATTGATTTATTCAGTTTATATTCCATTTGTTTATGAAATCAAATCATTGGTTTGTAGTATTTTTAATAATCCCAATATGACTTTATTTACTTCATTATCAAGTATCATTCTCGGTGCATTTATTCCGGTATTAATAATGATTATTTGTACTTTGTTAACTCGAAAGAATCTGAAAGAGAAACGTCAACGTCGACAAAACCTTTCTATTCGAGAAGTAAATCAAGAAAAACGTGATCGTCAAGCACTTCGAATGTTATTTGTTCAAATTCTTGTCTTTATTATCATCACATTACCTTGGATGGGTTACAGTATTAATAATGTCATTTCTTCTTATACTCCAAATAAAACATCTGATCGAATTGCAATTGAAAATTTCATTACTGCTGTGGCTGGAGCATTAGCTTTTCTTTTTCCTTCATTATCTTTCTATTTGTATACATTAACATCAAGTATGTTTAGAACTGAGTTAATTCTTCTCATCAAAGTCTTAATTCATTGGAAATGTTTGACTCAGAATCATCGAATTGAACCAACAAATACCATCGCATCACATAGAACACCGATGAAATGAAAAGCAAAGACAATTTCGATGTTGTCATGTGATTTCTATTTGTCTCAATAAATTTCATTCGTCGTTTGATGGATCAGAAATAATCTTGACAGGAACAATTTCCATTGAGATCAAAATGATGAATACAACTCGCATCTCTGACGATGATCTCACATTGACGAATCCGAGCGATTAATTTTGTCGCAGCGTCTAAGAAGAAAAGAAATGAGAGAAGGAAAGAAAGCAAAAAAGAGATTTACGACAATCTTCACAGATGCGCAGGTTTTCGGTTATTTGAATGTGAGATGGACGTGTTGATTGGATGAAATGAAAGGCTATCGCAAGTTTTTCGGAGTGTCCACATAGAACGGATTGAATAGTTTCATGAGAAGATATCGATCGAGTGATGGAATTCGAATGAAATTCATGTCCGTATTCAATAAGTTCTTTACTTATTCGATCAAGTTCTTCGTAAATCTGTGAGGATTGAGGATGGGATTTATCATGTGCGCGGAATTTCTTTTAAATAATGAAAAGTTTCATTGAGATTTGAAACGAAACCTTGACGATTACCCAGATCTTTCCGTTGAGTTCAGTCCATGTTAAACCGATTTCTTTTTTCTTTCCTGATTGAATTAAATTCGTTCGAAGTGTCTCAGCTTTCTCCAGTTGACCTGTCATTGCATAAACATTTGACAAAAGAACGGAAGCCGAGATCAATCCTTTTTCTGCTTTAGGAAAGATTTTTGTCATTTGTTGAACGATTTTTTCCGCTAAACGTTCATCTCTTTGATGGCGAACACTTGATAATAATGCCACTATAAAATGAATATATCAAAAAAGCAAAACATGATCAATTTATATATTCTATGCGACGTAGATGCCCCCTCCCTTCAGTGTAACGACTATGCTGAACTTCTCATTCTTTGAGGTTTACTGTTTACCAAAGAAATATCATCCTTTAGGATAATGAGAAAGAGTTGTCAAATCTAGAGTTGGATAATAGGCCGAAATTTTGATCGAGCAAATGTGACATACTATACATGGGTAACCATGGAGGATTCACCAATTCTGATTGAATAATTAATTGTTGAGCTTCTTCAAGTAATGATGCTCGGCAAAGACAATCAACCTTCGAATGAAGAGATGATGGTTCTTCTTTTGAAATAATCTTAACTGACCATAACAGTATAAATTTGTTGTGTTTTTAATGGAATTTCATTGAAAATTCTTCGAGCTTGATCTACACGTCCTGTGTGTGAACAAGAATTTAAAATACAAACAAATGTATAATTGTCACGGATATCTTTGGACATTCGATGGAAAAGTTCCAACGCTTTATCGACCATTCCGTTCAAACCATATGCGTTTACTTAACGAAAATGATCAAATCTTAACAGAATATAATTTGTTAAAGAAAATTACTCATTGAATTATAAGTTATCGCATCGGGTCGAAAGAATTTTTCAAATAAGGCTTCTGCTTTGAGAATTGAACCAGATTTGCCCTAATTAGCAGAAATTTTAAAGTGCACAATACATCAGTTCAATGATTAACGCCTCTCACCCACATGTAAATTAGTGAAGTTTGAATTGGATGATCCAAAAGGAGATCTTTTGGTATTTCATCAACAATTCGTTGACAAATTGATTTTAAACCGATTTGTGCACAAGCATTGATCAATAGAAGGTAAATAATTCGATCCGGTTTGATTTCGTCGTGTTTCATTTGTTCATACAAATCGATTGTTTTCTCCGGTTGTTTTTCGAGATTAAATATTTTCATTAATCTTCCGTAACCAATGCAGAATCTTGGAATTTTCTTGAAAATTCTCTCTGCAAAAGTCGAATCTCCACATTTGATAAACATGTTAAAGGCGGAATTCATTAAAAACTGATGCTTTTCATATTCAATCGGCATTTGTTCGAAGAATTTTCTTCCACAATTCAAAGCCTTTTGGTTTTCTAATTTGGCACATGTATTGAAGATTTGAATGAGAAGGATTTCATTCGGATTGGTGATTTTCTCAAATAAATCAAAAGCCTGTTCAACCATTTCATGTTTTAGATAACCTAAACAAGGATTTTTTTGTTTCATGGGAACGAAATGTTCGTGTTTTACCTTTAATCATCGTTAAAAACATTGTTTGAGAACGAATTCTTGATTGTTGGAAAACTTGTTCTGCTTCACCAATCTGATCAAATTGTACTTTGAAGAAAAAGTGGCTCAAACAAAGAAATATTGAAGAAAAGAATTCTTACTAAACATATGAATAAGTGATGCTAAAAGATACGTATCATTCATTGATGATAAAGAAATCTTCTTTGCAATTGTCAAACTACGATGTTTATCCAATAAGTGTGTTGATGCTTTCAACACCTGTGTTAAAACTTTGTTCGAAATAAGTGCTGGATGAGATTTCTCATATTCATCGTATAACAACAAAGTTTGATCGAATTGTTTCAAATCATTAAATTTTTTCATTGGAACATCCAATGTCGAAAAATATCGAAATATTGTCTCACTTTTTCCGAAAATCAATCGATTTCGCAAATAACTCTGACAAACAAACATTTTTGTATACTGAAAACAAAACGAAATGCCACAATATTCGATCTGAATTTGTCTCCATCGTGCGAGAAGAACAAGAAATGAGTTATCTAATGAAGAGTTTTTATTTAAAGTATAGATTGAATTCCATTGTCACCTTGAGTAAAGTGTTGAATATGTATTTGAAATGAATCGCGCAAGCAAGAGCAAGAGCATAAGAAAAAAAAACGAGCACAAAGAAAAAAAAAAGAAAAACAGAGCAGGGAAATAAGATAAAGAGAATATCGAAAAAAAAATGAGCTGACCACTCTCATATCACAAAACTCGAAACGAAAAAAAAAAAGAAGAAGGTGTTGGAAGAGGCTAGCACATATGGTCTTCAAATATATAAGAGTAAATCAAGTTAATATCTGGCAATCATGATGCGAAACAAAAAAAAATGCGTTTAGAAAAAAAAACAAAAAAAAATAGAAAAAATAGAATAAATGGGTAAGGATTGAGCGAGATTCCTTAACCGGGATTAACACACAAACAGAAAGAACATACCTAAAAAAAAATGAAGGAGTGGTCGCACTAGTTTCTTTTCTTTTAATCAATATAATGATCTTTGACTACCTGATTCTCAAAGAAACAAACAAAAAAAAAAAGAACATCAAAAACAAACAAACGTATAGATAGACGATGAAGAGTTTAGGTTTCTATAGGAATATCACAGCGACCAGCCTCTCGAAACTCATTTCTCACACGACTGTTCACTTTGTTTTAGGAGAAGAAGAAGAAGAAGAAGAAGAGAAAAGAAACAAACAAATATTGGTAAACTATGTTAAATAAAGAGTATTTAAAACAAGAACATGATGATTATTTTTCGCTAATGTAACAATAAAACCATCCGATGTTATTTTCAATCCACAACAACGTGATACTTTTACATATGGACAATCAAATTCTTGTAAGAAATCACCTGTACGGGAAAATACAGCAATATGAAATCGATTTCCATGTGAATCACCAATGATTACATCACCTAAACAAGAAAATCTTCATAAAGTCCACTTTTCTTTCGTGTTTTCTTACCGGCATCGCTTATATCGATTCCATTAGGAAAATTCGTGACACTTTCGGAACCGATTCGTCGTAAAAATGTTCCATCTTCATCAAATACAGCGACACAATGACCCTAAAATGAATTCTTGGAAATCATTTGAAAATTCCAATGAAATTTTTACTTTAAAATCACAAACAAAATATTCATTATTAAAAATGGCGATATCGGACGGTTCTCTCATATAATCTGAACAATCAAACCATTTTATCAAATCTCCAGCTTCACTTATACAAAAAACCGTTGGTGATACTGAATCCACCGCGACAATATTTCCTAAAACCAAAGAGAAAATCAAATAAAAATTTATTAGAAAAAGTAAACCTTGTTGTGTAATGGCTAAACCAGCGACAATATCGACATATCGAATCGAAATTTTACGAATGAAATGTCCATTTCTTGTAAATATTTGCATTCTACTTCTTTCATTTCCTCGATCACAAATAACAAATTTTCCTGATTGTCGAATCACGGCGACTTTTCTTGGATACCATAATTGACCTTCTTCTTTGCCGGGCATACCAAATTGATATTTATATTCGCCTGTCTTATCGAAAATTTGTATTCGATGATTATTCGTATCGGCGACAATGATTTCTTCGTCAATTCCCAGACAAAATCCATGTGGAGCATTGAATTGACATTTCTGTGGACCTAATGAACCAAATTTCGCTCGAACTTGCATCGATTGTCCACTTCGACGTATCATTGCCGTTTGTGATGGAAAATTTAAATTGATATCGATTGCCGAATTCGGTACAATACCAGAAAATGGTGTTGTCGATCGACTATTATTTCCGTTACTTGATCCACCACTATTCGTACTTGAATATGTTGCCAATAATGATGGAGGAGGATATTGATTATTGGGTGGAGAACGTTGACCTAATGGCGGTGCGGAGACTTGACGATTTAATGTTACATAGGAATTATCGTGTTGTTGAATTTGTTGATTCATTTGAAGAATTTGTTCTAAATTACTTTGAACATTTGGATGAATTGTTGATAAAGAATCAACGAAAATTGATTCTAATGCACGAAGATTTTCTACAACGGGTTCGGTATCATTTGTCGAATTATTTCCAAAATAATCTTCACGATTTGCACCTGATGGTGAAACACCATTGGATAAAATTGTTCCACGTGAAGAGACTTGTCCAACACCCATACTACCAACACCTGATGATGATGAAGCGGAATCGCCATTGACTGATGATAATAACGATCCTCGTTGATTCAATTGATGGTTCGTTGGTGACGAAATCGTTTTCGATTGTGGTTTAATTAATTGACCGAAATGAAGTTTAATAATTTGTTGAAAATCTTGTGTTGGTGTACTGACAAATTGAATAATTTTATCGGAAGTTGTTTCATCGGTTTTGTCGGATTGAAATAATTTTTGAAATGATTGAATTTTCTCATCGAATAATTTCGTTTTCAATTGCACTAATTCATTTAATGAACATTTCGATAAACAACGTTTGAACAACGAGCGACTATCATCAAATGATTGCGAACCTTTCTGAAGACTTTCTAATTCATCGATTAAACGCATTTCTTCTTCACGTTGGAGATTATTCAATGTTGATAAACAATCATTGTACACTTGATTGAGAATCTGTTGATATTGTTCATATGCCACATCGATTTGGCTTTTCGTTTTCTCGTAAATCTGTTGTAGCGACGTTAATTGATGATCACTCTGTGCTAAAGCATTCGTTCGTTGTTCATCGACTTGTTGGAATTTGTCGGTAAAATCTGAATAGATCTGTTCGAATTGATTTTTATGCACATCATGTTGAGGTGAGGGATGTGATATTAAACATTGATCACATAATGGAATTGAACATGTTGTACAGAAAAATTTGACTTCATTGTTCGAATGAATCGAACATTTTCGTGTGCTATTTTGTTCGTCAGTGGAGATTTGAGATAATCGACGTACTTGATGTTGTTCAAAACATTTCATATACTGATGAGCTTGACAACATTTCGCGCACAAATATGACGAACAGGTTGAACAATGTGCAACACCAACATCATTAGATGTACATGCACGACATTCAATCGAACCATTTTTTAATGCGAATTCTTCCATTTCACGGATTAAAACATAATTATCAATTAATTGATTTAGGTTAGTCAATTCGGTGACTTGTTGACACGTTGGACATTTGATTTGATCTTTGTTTTCGAAGAGTTTTTCACAACATTGTAAACAAAATGAATGTGTACAGGATAAGAATTTCGGTTGATTGTAAAAAGATTTACATAATGAACATTTGTATTGATTATCATCATCATGTTTATTATCTTCATCATCGTCTTCGAAATTAAACAAAGAATCATCGGATTCTTTTCGCCCATTTTCTTCATGATTTTCACTTTTGTTTAAACCATTTTCATTGATTTCAATTAATTTCGCATCTTCCATTTTTAATAAGATAATCACTCTTGTTTTTTTTCAACACAGACACAAAAAAACGAATCGAACAATAGATAATCACCTTATTATATCAACAAAACAACAACAGTAAACAAATACCATGCATCATCTTATCGAACCTCTTCTTGTCGTTTCAAAGAAACTTTTGTGAAAATTATTTTCATTTTTTCTTTTTAAAGAATATTTTCCAGAAATTCTTATTTTAAAATTCATTTCATTTTCGATCAGCGACATCTTTAGTAACAAAGTCGAATCGTTCAAATGGATTTTCTTTGAATTCGATTGAAAAATGATCAATTGTGAGATCAAATGAAATTTTTCTTCAAAAAGCATTTCATTTTGTTTTCCCTGGTTTTCTCTCAAAGAAGTTTTATCAAGGATAAAAATAACCTTAAGAGAATCATTGAACTAGAACGATTTGTCTCATTTACCAAGAGAAAATCCTTGTCACCAATATGTGAAACTCGCACGATACAAGGGAATTTCATTTCTATTGTGCAAACTTGTCTGAAACGACGTATAACTAAGTCATTTATCAAGGACAAAAACCAAAAGGAATGATGAATTTTCTTTGTCGACAAGAAGTTGAAATGTACCGCTCTCGCTCTCTCTCTGCCTGCTACTCGAACGGAATCACACGAGTTTAGATTCAAATTTGAGTGCAGAAGTCGAAGCCTCTTCTCCAATATTCAATGTCTGCTAATCTTTCGACAGAAGGATAACCTTTTCCTCAGTTGTACGTTTGCTGTAGAGGTCAGTATGTGATGATCTCAATTTTGTTGTCGAACGTTATAAGATGATAGTAAGTACGAATCGAATGTGAACATATCTTGATTTCATATTGATTCATCATTACTTGATAAAAATGTCGTCAACAGTGGCCGTAGTTCCAAATATTGCTGAAGGAAATCTAAAAAATATCGTTGAACAAACAAGTCTCAAGTGGATTTTCGTTGGAGGAAAAGGTGGAGTTGGAAAAACGACATGCAGGTTCGTTTAAATTTTCGATTTCAATTCATTGTATTGACGGTTTTTAATCTTCTTTAGCTGTAGTTTAGCATCACTGTTATCAAAAGTTCGTGAAACAGTACTCATCTTAAGTACTGATCCAGCTCATAACATATCCGATGCATTCAATCAGAAATTCACGAAAAAACCAACTAAAGTCAATGGATACGACAATCTTTTTGCAATGGTTTGAATAAATCTTCTTTGGAATTGATTGTCACAAGGAAAGTGTTGTAGGAAATCGATCCATCCGGTGGCATCAGTGAATTACCCGATGACAACGAAGAAAGTGGTAAGAATTCATCATTGACAAAGAAAAAGTTTTCTCTGTAAGAAGAAATTTGATCTGTTTAGAATTATGGACAGTCGGACGTTCGATGTTTCAGGAAATGCTTTCGTCATTCCCTGGTATCGATGAAGCTGTGAGTTTTTCTGAAGTCATGAAGTAAGGAATGGATTTTCTCCTCAAACGAATATTTCCACTGCAAATCTTCTTTGTTCAGATTAGTGAAGAATATGAATTTTAGTGTTGTTGTATTTGATACAGCACCAACAGGTCATACATTACGGTTACTTTCATTTCCTGCAGCTATTGAAAAAGGTCTTGACAAGATTTTAAGACTGAAAAATCAAGTTGGACCAATGTTGACACAAGTAAATCATTTTTAACGCACAATTTCTTTATTTCCGACTTCTGAAAATAGATCTCATCAATGTTTGGAATGGATAACATGATCGCAGATTTGATGTCAAGTAAATTAGAAGAAACATTGGCTGTGATTCGACAAGTTATGGAGCAATTCCAAGATGCGGTAAGATTCTTCGTATCGATGTTCCACATAGATCTCTTTCTCTTTTCTGCAACAGAATTTAACAACATTCGTTTGTGTTTGCATTCCCGAGTTTTTATCTTTGTACGAAACAGAAAGATTAGTACAAGAATTAGCTAAATGTCATATTGATACACATTCAATCATTGTTAATCAAGTGTTATTCCCATGCCTTGGTGAAAATGTCAATTCATGTCGTCGTTGTGCATCAAGAATGCGTCTTCAACAAAAATATATCGAACAAGTATTTGACTTTCTCAAAGATTTCATGCTTTTAACGTCCTTTTCTCGATTAGATTGATGATCTGTATGAAGATTTCAATGTGGTGAAATTGCCATTACTTGACGATGAAGTTCGAGGTGCATCAAATATCAATTCATTTTCTCAACATCTTCTTAAACAATACAAACCATAAGATATTTTGTCATTAGATAAACCAGAAACACCGTTTATTCTCTTTTTTATTTTTTCGCTCTTGGTTCATCGTTTATTCGAAACACAAAAATAAAATAAACATCCGTTTCAATCAATTGATTCTAATTATGTTCACCTTCACGACAAATGAACGGCATAGAAAATCGATTTTGTTGATATTTCTCATTCAAGTCTATAATAATCTAATGAAAATATCTATCATTTGCTTGTTCTCTCTGTATACGTTGTGTGATATACACTTTGAAATAGTATCGTCTATTTGTTTCATTCGACTCTTATTTATAATGCAGAAAGTACTAGAAAGTACACATTAACATATATCGGTATTTTCTCTTTGTGTTCTCTCCCTTAAAGTGGCACGTGTTTCCTTTGATTTTCTCTCTATTTTCTCCATTCGCCGCTGTTCTTCGGATCATTCTGAAATAAAGTCATGTTTTACGTTAAAACACTCGCGTATTAAGTTCAACTGAAATCCAATTTGTTTATCGGTGGTAAACATGAGCAACACATTTGAACAAACACTAGAAGAATACAACATTGATCGGATCACCTTGTCTATGGTGATTTTTTTTAAAAATTAAAAGTCACAGTGGACAAAATCCAAGGATACACGAAGAGTAGCACATATAGATTAATCATTAGAATCAAACGACAAAGTATAGGATCGGCTTCAAATCATCCAAAACAAAGCGCTTCGCGCTACCTTTGGCCTGCCGATCTATATCTCTGTCGAATACATACATCGGACAAGCAAAATACCAAAAATCAAAGACTATGCAACATCTGCAAGACATCGCCGATCAACTATGATAAAACACCAACACCAATATTACAAGACTATCTGCGTCGATAACACAGATCACTGTTAAATCAGCCGAATCTGTACAAAACGGTTGATCAAGAACGAAGAAACGACGATTATCGACGTATACGTCGAATTTCTGTAGGATCTGATAAAATCCTATACTGGATTCGATGGGATCCCAGTGTGGGATTGTTCAACCTGGGTATGCTATGTTCATGTTTTTCTGGGCGAAAATGTCCCTTTCTTATATTCGATTGAATGATTCCATAGAGAAATTCAACGACGAGCAAGAGAATCTGAAATACGTATTGGCAGAAGATCTTTCGAATAAATTCCTGGCTGATCCGCGGTTGCCCTACGACAATTTACATTACGTAAAAGCCAATTATTCACCGATAATTAGATTAATCGTTGAAAATTTAGAGCATTTGCAAGTACATAATAAAAACTTGGACGTTATTCTTCAAGATAATATGAAGCTTAGTTTTGTTCTAACTTGTTTCCCATTGTTGCTGAACACAGCATGGTGGATAAATAGTTTGAATATATCGGTTATGGTGGTGGTGTTATATTGCCCTTCTATGATCTACAGATTTTGTCAACGATGTTTCACATATTGACGAATGCTCATCCTCACATTTCGTAAAGTCTATTATCTACTACTCGTTTATTTTCTTCCGTTGTGGTTCTTTGATGTAAGAAAATAAAGAAAATATATTTTGACACAAACATTAAAAAACTGAAAGAAATCTTTCGTAAAACAGGTTCTCTAGGAGAAAACCAACATTGATTAACCCACATAGGTTTAATTTGTACATCTTCAACTAAAATCTTCAATTGTGAAAAAATTGATTCAAATGAATCATTTAAAAAAAGAATTTTATCAAAATAAATAAGAATAATTTTCTTCAATAAGATGTGTTTTTGTTTCAATTTCATTCCATTGTTGTTCATTAACATAAAAATATTATATTGTCAGTGTGAAAGCTAGCACGAACAAACGATGTGTTAGCTAAAAACTTTTTTACTAAGTATGCCCCGTCCATGAAAACTACACCATTAGACTCAGAATTTAATTCTGCATCGAATGGCGCCACTTTTATTCACCGAACAAACTTTGGAAAATTTTCTATCTTATATCTGTTCGTTTCCTTTAGGTCTATTTATAATTCAAATAGAATTTTTCCGAAGTTTGTCCGGCGAATTAAAGTGGCGTCATTCAATGCAGAATTAAATTCTGAGTCGAATGGTGCAGCTTTTATGAACGGGACATATTTAGTAAAAAATGTTTTAGCTAAAATATCGTCTGTTCGTGCTAGCTTCACACCGATTATTCCAATTAACTCTAACTTGTTTTTAATCAGCTACAATGGAGAAATAACCCACAACAAAAAAATTAAATGCCTTGAGGTACGAAAAAGTATTCGAAAATGTAACAAGCGACAAATTAAAATATTATCATAACGTTAACGACAAGTCTGTTTCTATCGGGCATCTCATCCAAGAAGTGTCATCAAATGATCTATTCGCGTTGCACAGCTGTACTTCATTAAGTGGAACAAGTGGAGGTGTAATATTGAATTCAACTGGGAGATTTGTTGGTATACATATTGGAATAGCCAATTCACGGAAACAAAAGGATGATGGATATTTCTTCAATAAAAATATGTTCAACAAGTTCGTACCAGTCAATTCAAGAAAATTGCGCGAATTCATCAATGAGTCAATCATACCAAATATCGGTAATGATGAAGCGGCACACAAATGGCGATTTGATTCTCAATAGAACATATTTTTTGTATTTTTTTCTACGTCGCAGTTTTTTCCTCTGATTTTAACATGAAGAAGACACGCTGAATGAAAGAAAGGTTGTCTTGTGGTGTAAACATGCAATACAACAAATCGTCAAAAAAACGTATTTTTAATTCTAAAGAAGCTTCAAAAGAACAAAAATCGTCATTTGTACTATTGCAGCACAATACACTCGTTCTCTTTCGAATGAATTTGCACGTGTCTAGAAGAGATGACGACCTTATGACAGTGTAGTTAGCTGATTTTCCGCTGAAGTATTACTTGATTAATCTTCACTTTGTGTCAATAAGTAGAATAAACATCAGTGAGAGGAAAACATAAGACTGAATGTGCGTATAGTGTTTGTATCTATCTTCTATATATATAAAGAAGAAAGTTTGTCTGTCTGTCTGTTCGCTATGCATTCAGTCTCTGTAGCAGCTATCGGCGTGAAACTTTCCACAATACTTCCTGAGAACCAGAGGAAGGTCGACATCTACTTTTCCCCGAGAACAAAGGAACCAGCCGTTTGCTGCAGGCAATATATGAAACG